CGGAGCAGGGCAGCAGGTGCCAGCCCACACCCAGCGGCTGCGCCTGCCATTTAGATGCGGTGGCTTTCTTCGTGCAGGGTTAGAGATGGCATTTCATGGCAGGGGGCCCCGAGGCAACAGACAGGATTCCCCCCCATGAAGATGCAGAAGGCCAGGAGGCTTAAGGCTTTGAGTCTCCATTATGAGGCTCCATCTCAGCACGCTGGGTGCTCACTCATTTTAATTGGTGCCACCAACCTTCTGGTGACACCCGGCATTCTGCCTTGGCAAAGCCCTATAAAAGCCAGAGGAATGACTCTAGTGGGGCCAGGTGGCCAGGCAAAGTGGGAGGCTGTGGAAACTTAATTGTTCTCGGTTTCCAACAGTTACACAGCCTCTGTGTCCCTATGGGGTGGTAGCCACCTGCTGGGATAAGAGTGAGGCGATATGGGTTCACATCTCATTCTAGGTTCAAGACTCCTGCTCACTGCAGACATTCCAGGGAAGAGCCCGGTCTGTGGCCTCATCACTTATGTCATGACTGGCCACACACGGGGAGTCCCTGCCCACCTGGCTGGGGGATTGTAATAAGCCTGGCGTAAAGCTAGGTATATTCTCAGCTAGGACATGAGGCTTGCAGCTTGACCTCACCACATAGGCTATAAGTGACAGAAGCCATGGAGACCCTTGGGTATCCTCCCCTCTTTGACAAGCATGCTGGAAGGTTTGGCCCAAGACAGAGCTAGAGAGTGAGACTGCTGTGTGGGGGAACTGCTGAGCTGACCATCCCTGGAGAATAGTCCCACTGCTCCTTTCCAGGTCCTCTTGGCCACATCTGTCTGTGGCCAGCAGCTCTGGTCACCTAGACAGTGCCTGGTGCCAGCTGGCTCAGGCCATATGAAGTCTCCAGAAAAGGAGCCAGGGTGTCACACGCAGCACCCTGTGGGGACAGTGGCCAGCCCTATAAATATGGCACACTGTCAAAGGCCTGAGTATTAAGACTCCCTGCTCTGTCCCCCTAGGCCCATCCCAGCTTGTCACCTGGAAACTCTAAAAATGCCACACTAAAGCAGCCAGAAAACCAGGGCACAAAAATCCTCATGTCCACTCCTCACCAGAAAATGCATGTGTGGGCTTGAAGGCCCGGGGGAGGCAGAATCCTAGTGTGAGCTACCAGGAGCCACTAGGCACACCCACTGCATAGAATGGCATGCAGGTGCAGCCAAGATCACTGCCTGGCGTACATGCAGACTAGGTTGTTTCTAACTGCCCCGCCACCCGCCAGCCCCGGACCCTTTTCAAGGTTATCCTTCATTTCCAGGTTTTAAATACCTCACTCCTAACTGCCTCCTTTATCAGCCTGACACCCTTCTGCCTCTGAGTCACTCATTAGGATCTCACCAGCCGCCCTTAGAGCCAAAGATACTGGAGTCTTAAATAAAAGCCACACACCAGCAGATCCAATCGTTGCATTTCCTAAACTGAAGGCACCACACGAAGTTAGGGACCACTGGAGGAAAGGGCTGCAAGCCTCAAAGACCACATTGGCCAGGCGCAGTGATACGCTCCTGTAACTCCAGAGAGTCCTGCAGGCTGTCCTCTGACCTCCACGTGTGTCACCGCATATGCACAAGCACACATACAAACAAACAAAATAAACATATAAAACCAAACCCCGATGTTGATGTGCTGACCCCCAAGAGCCTCCAAATATGGCATATATGTTTCAAGATGGCGTCCTTAGAGGTAACTGAAGTAAAACAAGGCAGTGTGGGTGGGATATAATTCTGAGGAGACAGCAATATGGCAAGGCACATGGCTACCAACTCCACTGACTTGCTGTCTGCACCCTGCCCGCCCTGGGTTCCCCAGGGTGTACACACAGGAATTGTTGACTGGGGCATGGGGCCTTCAGGATTGTGAGGTATTGGGAGAGATGAGACTCTAGCCACTGGATCTAGACAGGACAGGATTCAACTCACATATGACAAGGGCCATTTGTCAGCCACTCCTACAGGCTTTGAGGCCCCAGAAACTCAGCTCGGCTCATTTCTGCCACGGCCTGAGAAGTCCCTACACCTGCAGGCACTGAGTTAAGGAGCACAAAGATGAATGGGACACAGGGCCCAGCAGGTGACCAGATGGCTAACTGAGTAATTAACACACAGAGGCTATCTCCCTGCCCATCAAGACAGCAGAAAAGTGATTCATTAACTCTCTAAAGGGACGGCTTAGAAGATCTCAAAGAACCGTGTGAGCAGAAAGAGTTTCTGGAATCCTTGAACAAACAGGAGGCTCAGGAATGTCTTCCGGACACTCTGCCGGGACCAAAGCCCAGGCTCAACACAGCACTGGAGACTCACTGGACTGGAGAAAGGGGGTTAACACCATGGGCTATCCCTGGAAACAGGACCAGGCGGGAAAGAAGGTGTGGGACACTACAGGCCTGGGACACTTAGCAAAACTGCTTGGTTCCCCTATGTGGGGATGGGACAGCTTTAGAACAGGGAAAACTGCCATGTTGGGTGTGGTTTATGTCGACTGCTCAGACAGCAGGTGACCTCGGGACAAATGTGAAAATATAAGCATGAAATAGCTAGGCCTGGGCAAAGGTCTGCGGGCTTCAGGCTTTATCAACTTGAGACAAACCAGAGTCCTTTTAGAATAGGGAATCTCAACTGAGAAAATGCTGACCATCAGATTGGCCTGTGGGAAAGCCTGTGCTGCGTTTTCGTGACTGATAATTGATATGGGAGGGCCTAGCTCAGTGGAGGAGGTGGCAACCCTAGGCAGGTGGTCCTGGGTTCTACAAGAAAGCGGGCTGAGCAAGCCATGAAGAGCAAGCCAGTAAGCAGCACCCCTCCATGGCCTCTGCATCAGCTCCTGCCTCCAGGTTCCTGCCTTTAGGTCCTTCAATAATGAGTGTTACCCGGAAGTATAACAAAGCAACCTTTTTCACCCCACGTTGCTTTTGGTTATGGTGTTTCATTACAGCAATTGAGACCGAGATGAAGATAACATCTGTCCTTAGAGGGGCCTTGCCTTCAGCTGTGCTAGATGGAACATCTGCTTCTCAGAGCCTTTAGAAAGCACCCGTAACAGTGTGAGAGGGGGAAACCAAGGCACGAGCGCCCTGAGCAGAAAACACAGTGCGCTGTGGAGACAGATGTAGCTTTCTGTTCTTAAGCGAAAATAAGCAACAGACTTCACCAAGATCCCGCGGCCTCACTGGTGGCCCTGCACAGTGAACTGTATTGTCTCACTGGCCCATTTCTTCCTCAAGCACCAACAATGGCCCAAGGCCTGCTTCTGGTTGGTCACTTTCCTCATTTCCATGACCCGGAAGAGCAGAATCCCGCCCCCAGCTCGGGCACAGCCAAGGTTCCCATTTAGAAATGAGCCAGCCTATTGGCTCATTTAGCAAGGCAGCCACCCCTACCTTGGTCAATCCACTTTGCAGGTGACAGATGCCCTTCTGAAGGGATGTCCTCTGAAGCGGACTCATTTGCCTCTCTCTGTCCCCAGAGCAACTCCATGGTGACTTGGAAGGACCAACCTAAGAGGGCTCTGCTCACTGGCTGTGCGACCCTGGCCAAGTTAGTCAACCTTCCTGAGGCTGTTTCCTCCTCAATAAAATACAGATAGCAATAATAACTCTGTCTTGAGGTCACATGGCAAGCCTGGCTTCTGCCAGGCCTTGGGTTAAAACCTCAAGACAGCAAATAAATGAACTCAAATAAAAATTAACAGCCAACCCTAAGGGCTTCCACCCACGTACAGCTGGTGAAGAAAAATGGGGGAGGGGGAAGGAGAAGGAAGAACAGGTAAACCAGGAGGAAGAAGAAATAAAGGAGAGAAGGGAAGAAACTTTAGTCAGACAGGCCTGAGTTCAAATCTTCCCTCACTCACAGCTGGCTGTGTGCCCTTGAGAAACTTACTTAACCTCTCTGACCTTCAGTTTCCCTCCTTTGTAAAATGAGAATGATATTGCCTTCCATGTAAGGGCTTTTAGAAAGAAAGCCGGCTAAAACCAGGAGTCAGAGCCAGGGTTCTGTAGGCCTCGTGGCTCTGTGGGGAGAAACCAGGATCCTCTGGGACCACCCAATCATCCACTCAGGATGGCAGTGAGTATGTGGCAACAAGGATGGTTTGTAGTGAGTCAGCATGCTCCAGCACCCTCACCCTGGAACACTGTTCTCCTTCATCCCTTCCCAGGGAGCCTCTGAGATCCCCAAAGCCCAACTGTATTCTTCTCTCTGGACAAAGGAGATGGGAATGCCAGGCTCACTACTGCCTGGTCTGTGGCATCTTCCCCTGTGGGAAGTGTGGTTCCCCTTGACCCTCCACCATGGCAGGCTGTCTGCACTCATGAGCGAGCCCTGAAGCCCTGCTGCTGAACTTCTCAGGACCCTATGCAAAGGCAAGTTATTTTAAGCCTCTCCTGAGCCCTTGACCTGAGTAAACCAAGCAATGGTTTTGGGATGAGGACCAGAAAGGGCTTTAAGACCTCTGCCTCTGCCAGAAAGACACTTAAAGTCGACAACACAGGCAGCTCATCCCCTCTCTCTCGGGTTTACTTTGTAGCAGGCTTTGATTCCCAGAAAGGCAATGTGAAACCCCAAAGCCTTGATCAATACACCACAAGGCTCACCCTCCACCCCATCCCAAGATGGCAGATAACAGCTCATCTCCCCTATCTACTTCAGGTGGCCACCCACAGAGATGTTTTTATTAACAAGGACTGAGGCAGGATAGAGAGGCCCTGCCTGAGGTCCCCCTAGCACAGGAACAAAGTGAAGTGTGTCAGGAGTGAGGGCTCCTAGAGGGACACTGGACCCCCAAAACACTGCAAGGCTGGGCTGCAGCATCAGACACCCACCGTGTCCTAGGAGCAAAGTCTGTGTTGCACTCGAGACGAGTGACAGGGCTCTTCTTCCTCTTTCAGACTGAAGCCCACCTGTCTCTCACTCCCTGAGCAGACAAGCTATGAGCCCTGCCCACCCATCTGCCCACCAGCTTACTTTTGCTGGGCTGCTCTTCTTGGCCCAGGCTGTCGGAAGGAGCCAGCGGAGCACTCTCACCCTCGTCCAAGGTCAGAATGAGCGGCACGTCGTCATCTAAAATCACAGCCATGTTCTCCCAAGCTGTGGTCCTCAGGATGCAATGGCCAGGGCTTTAAATGATCTCCGGCTCGAGCTCCTGTTCAAAGCCACGGGGCCAGAGATGTTTCGCAAAGCTTGCTCCATCAGAGGCATCTTCTAGGGTTTGGAGGATAAAAAGGAAAAGGTAATAATTAAAACATAATCGTTACTGATGACCATGTTCTAGAGTCAGGGAGCAGCAACAGCTGTGCAGCTGGAGGCCAGGCTAAACTCCAATGAATTTTATCCTTTATCATGGTAACTTACAGTATGATGTATGACTATATGATGTGTGTGTTGGTGCCAAAGTGGCTATGAAGTAGAAGAGCACTTTGAACTTCCAATCCCCCTGTCTCCAGTGGGATTACAAGTGTGTAACACAACTGGTTCACAGGGAACTGGGGACTGAACCCAGGGCTGTGTGCATGCTAGGCGTCACTCCACCTACTTAGCCACAGCCCACACCACCGTATTTCAACTTAAAAAATAAAAAGTTAGGTATTGCCACGTGTGCTGTGATTCTAGCACTTGGGAGGCTGAGGCAGGAGGATGACAGAGTTTAAGGGCAAGAGTAGAGAGAGAGAATAGAAGAGTATATGATATAGGAACAGTAAAATATAAAGAGGTAAGTCCAGGTATGGTGACTGGGGCTTGTAATCCCAGCACTTTGGAGGCCCAAAGCAGGTAGATCAGGAGTTCAAGGCCAGCCTTGGCTACATATTGAGTTCAAGGCCAGCCTGATCCATACGAGACAGTCTCAACAAACAAAATCAGAGCCAGGTGTAATGGTGTATACCTTTAATCCCAGCACTCAACAGGCAGAGGCAGCTGAATGTCTGTGAGTTTTAAGTCAGCCTGTTCTACAGAGAGAGTTCCAGGACAGCCAGGGCTACAAAAATCAAAAATAAAAAAATAAAGAAAAAAAAAAATCTCACCAACAGCTCTACACATCAGGTAGGGACAGAGACAATAGGACATTAGGTAACTTTCCTGAGCCCACAGTCAGAAAGTTAAGCTTTGTCTTGCACAGTATGAGTCCAGGCCCACATTCCTAGCCATTACACCATGCTTGGTGCCTTCGAAGTCTCCAGGTTTTGTCCCCAGGAAGCAGTAATAAGAAGGGAGTGTGTCTGCTGTGCAGGCTTGCCCTTGTCCTCTTTTTATGTTTACGAACAATTTTCACTTCAGCCTTATTAAGTGCCCTCCTGGGAATACACAAGATCATCCAGGCTTTGCTGGTGGTCCTCCTAGATGGAGATCCTTGATAAGGAAAGGCGGACATGCACGTTTTTTACAACTTCTAATCACAGTCCCCAAAGGACCCATCCTCTGCTCCAGGTTTACAGGCTCAGAACTGGCCTGAGAGAGCGGCTGTTTACACATCCTACTTCTGCTTACTTAGATAAAGAGAAACGCAGGGTTCAGCAGGTCCGCTGGAAACCTTTGAACCTGGGAACAGCAGCGAGTTGCTGCCCCCAGCTGTGGTCTGTGCACTTGATGGATTCTGCCTCCAAACCAACCCATTGCAGGGCCGACAGGCACAGACAGCATGTCTCTCGCCACAGAGGCAGAGAAAAACACCATTCTGCAGCTGGCTAAGCCTCAAGCGCTCTGCCCAGCAAACTTCCTGCAAGTGGAGTTTGGTTTCCTTCTGTTTTTTTTGTTTTGTTTTTTTTTTTTCCTCTCCTCCACATTTAGGGATTTGTTTTGCTTTGAAATCTCAACAAGGGAAAAGACAGAAGAGGAACTATCACAAGATACCATCATTTGGCCGTCTGAAGAACTGTGCTGTGTTCTGTACTTTGGCTTAACTTTCTCCTCCCCGACTCTGAGCTCACTAACACAGTCCACAGCAGAGGGATTACATGAATACACTTTCTTGAAGCCACCATGAGTCTCTAACAATGCACCCTCTCCTATACATTTGGAAGGCAAGAAACTCTCCCAACTTGAGACGACAGGTTTCTAATTTTTGTCACTAGTACCCTGGTGGGTTTTACGTTCTAACTGCTGAATGTATGACTCCATTCTTGCATGCCTCATCTTAACTCAATGGCTCGCGCCTGGCATGACTTTGTCCCCGCTGTCTAGAAATATTTCCAGAATCACGACTTGGGAATGACCTCGAGGGAGTCCAGAGAGGCCACCGACCATCTACAGTACACAGCTGAGACCCCACCCACAGGAAACAACCTCCTGGCTCAGACTCAACAGCTCTGCCCTTGGTCCAGCCCAGGTTAGACAGCACCAACTTTATCCATGAGGGCGCCTAGTGTGAACTCGCCTCTCATGAGTAAGCAGCTACAAGTAGTCAGGCTGAATGGAACGCAGGTGGCACGAACTAATTAAAGCATTTCCAACTCCAGTTCGGTCCCATAACTATTCCTAGAAACTGCACTCCACTTAAGTGAACTCCACCAACTACTTTCTTGCTTTTGTCTTTTGAGGCAGGGACATCCCTGTCTAGCCTTGGATAGCCTTGAAGTTCCCATACTCCTGCCTCAGCTTCCCGATGAACCTATGACTTTTCAAAGAGAAAGAAATGAGGCCCAGAGAGGGGAAGAAAACTGTCCAAGGTCACACAGCAGACTTAGAGGCAAGAACACCAGGCTCTTCGGGTCCTGCCCTTTGGCAGACTTCGGTTCTCACTCTGGAGAGGACTCAGAGAGTCAACCCTAGGGGAAGGTCACCCCGGGAGTAAGGTCCCGGGATCAGACAGCTAGCTGCCATCTTCTGTCCCCAGGGTCAGGCAGATCGGGGCAGGAGTTCTCGGCCGGGTCACAACAGGACGCAGCCGGGAGGAGAGCAGGGAGGGAAGGGAGAGGAAGGATCTCGTGAGGGTTCCAGCAATCCCCGATCCCTGCGGCGATCCGGGTCGCCCCAGGAAGTCAGGGTAAAGAGAAGGGGTGCAGGGAGAAGAGCATCTGCAAGGAAAGAGGCACGCGGGCAACCTCCCCAGGGCCCGCCTCGGGCGTAGGGAGCGCCCACCCTGTCTCAGCCCCTTCTCGGCGCCCCCTGACCCCTGACCCCTGCCCTCGGGCTAAGATAGCGCAGCCCTTGGATTCTTACACGCGCTGTCCCGAGATCCCGCACCATGCACCGGGTCTGTACAGCGCAGCTCAGCCTGCAGCTGCTGCCGCCAATATCCCGACAACGGAGACACTGCAGCCGCCACCTCCGCCTCACCGCTGCCACAGCAGCAGCTGCGCCAGCCCTCGCATCCGCCGACTCCTGTCACTCAGCCCCGATAGCCCCGCCCCACAGCCCAATGCCACGGCCCATTGGCCACCAGAGAGGCCGGAGTGAAATTTGACAGGGTAATCTGCACGTCACTTACTGTTCTTACATCCCTCCTCCCGTCGGGAGGGCGGGGCGAGGAAGCTCCACCCCTTTCCTCCGCCTTACTTGCTCAACCAACCGGAACCCCGGGCCTTTCCATTGGCGAAACGTCAGAGAGACGTTGATTTTGATTGGACATCTTTCAGGAGGCAGAGCCAACGCAGCCCGGCTGGAAGCTGAGTGGTGAAAAGGGAGGTCAATCAAACACAAAGTCCCGCCTTCTAAGATTGGCGCGTAACCTAGCAACACAGGGGTTGCTCAGGTGGTTAACTGTAGGCTGGGAAACTTGCAGCTTGGAGAGCCGGTGAGTGTCAGCGGGAAGACCCCCCGGGCTGCGTGCCGTGTGCACCGAGTGGGCGCGCTGTCCACTGGCCCCCGAGGGGTCCGCGCCCCACTGCTATCTGGCCCATCTCCAGGGCCTCACCCCCCCGTCCTACCTCCGTCCAGGCCTCCTCTAGGCCTCCTGCAAGGACCATCAACCATCCTCTTGTGATAGTCCTGTCTCCTTTCCCGTCCACCTGTCAGTTCATGGCTCTGCCCCTCGTCCCTCACGAGTACCGTTTATGTGGACGTCCGAGTGAGCTTAGTTCAAGTAAGAGGATGGGATGGTTTGCTAGGCGCCCACCGCCCCCACGTAGGACCCTATATTCTGAGGTGAGATTGCCTGGTGCAGGATCCCACTTCAGTGTACGCTTAAATTAGGGGTTTGTTGTTAGTTTTGTTTTTGAAACAGAGTCGCACTACGTAGCTCTGGTTGGCCTGGAACTTCAAGCTGTAGACCAGGCTGGCCTCAGACTCGGGGAGATCCTACTGCCTTTGCCTTCGAGTTCTGGGATTAAAGGCACGTGCCACTGCACCTGGTCTAATTTGTTTGTTTGTTTGTTTCTTCTCCTTCTTTAATGGTTGTCTGTTGAAGGTTTGTTTTTGTTATTTTGATCATTGTGTGCGTGTTGGTGTGATAAGTGAATTGGAATCCAGAAGGGAGGTTTTGGATCTTCTGGAGCCTGGAGCTGAAGTTAGTGGTAAGCAGTTGTGAGCTGCCTGACCTAGATGCTGAACTCAGGTACTCTGAATGAGCCATACACACCCTTTAAAAAACTTAAAGATGTTTATTTTTATTTTTATGTGTACCTGTGTGTGCCTGCGTGTCCGTATGTGCATAATGGATGTGCTGTGTGAGGAAGCCAGAAGCGGGAATTGGAACCCCTGTACCTGGAGGTACAGGAGGCTGTGAGCCGCTGTGTGTATGCTAGGAACTGAGCCTAGGAACTGCTCTGCAAGAGCAGCCAGTGCTATTAAACACTGAGACATCTCTCCAGCCTGGTTATTTTGATTATACACAAAATTTTCGTTTTGATGTTAACTTTCAAATTTAGGTCATATCCTTAAAATGCGATTTCCTTGTGCATTCTGAAGCCAGAGAAGAATTTCTTGGGAAGATTGAATAAGGTGAGACAATGAAGAGTTGGCATGGGCACAGCCACAGAATGGCTGCTCAGCTAATTGTGGTGATTCCCTGCCATGACTCATTCTACCTTAGCTCCTTCTGTCTAACCATTTCCAAGGACATTCTCTTGGCTCACGCTGCAACTAATTCACACATTTAACATGGGTTTATTGAGTGTTTATTGTGGCTAGCGGAAGCGGTATGAGCTTCAGGAAGTCCTGTCTCATAGAGTGTGGTGGGTGGGCGCTGGAGAGACGGCTCCGCCATTAAGAACACACACCGCTCTTGCAGAGGATCCACACTTCCCAGAACCAACATGAAGCGGTGCACAACTGCCTGCAACTCTATCCTAGGTGATCCAGCGCCCTCTTCTGGCTCTCCCAGACACCTGCACTTATATGCACATACCCCCCCCCACACACACACACTTTTTTCTTTGAGGCCCTAGAGAGTGTTCTTGGAATTAAAAATGATTTTAAAAAAATTCAAGAACATTTGAAAGTGAGCATCAGAGGAAAGTATCTTTGAACCTCAGCTTTTATTAGAGCAACAGGTCAGACCCTGTAGCCAATGAAAATATTTCAACCCTAATGCTTTCAAATGCAGGTGACTCTTTCCTTTGAATTGACAAAGAAACGCATTTCCTTCTAGTCTCAGAACAAGTTTAATTATGAAAGAATAATGCAGGCTCAAAATGCAGTTGGGTGGCACTGACTGTGCCTGACATGTGAGGTACTAAGTTTAATCCCCAGCACCCAAACACCAAGGAAACACAAATTCTGTGCTTCCCACATGTATTAATTATATTGATATTTTACGCTCGGTAATTGATATTTTCTAACAATGAAAGATTTATTTTTTATTCTGCGCATTACACGTGGCTTTTACACGGGTGTTAAGGAGCTTCAGATTCAAGCAGCAAGTGTTCTACTGATGGAGTCATCTCTCTAGCTTGTATTTTAAATTCTGCTTCATTTACTTAGTCTGTGAATATGTGCATGTGTGTGCATGATGTATGTCTGTATGTGTATGCATGTGTGTGTTGTTTTATGTGTATGTATGTGTCATATGTGTGTGGTACTACATAGGCCAGAAGAGGGCACTGGATCCCCTAGAATAGAACTCCAAATGGTTATGAGCCTCCATGTGAGTGCTGAGAACCAAACCTTAGTCCTCCGTAAGAACAGCAGGTACTCTTATCCACTGAGCCATCTCTCCAGCTCCCATATGTCATTTCTGCGTTAGTAATAGAAGTCCTAAAAACTAGACATTTTTGGCAGTCTTACTTTCACACAAGAGTTCTGTCCCCATTTTACAGAGGGGCAGCCAAAGCCTAGAGAGGGTGGTCAGCTCACCCAAACCCATGTGACTGGGTAGGAGCCACAGGGATTGGGCTCCATGTAAGCCCAGTCACCACCTAGTGAGCCTCTGGCTAACCCTTTTCACTTGGGAACTTGTGGAAGGTCAGGTGACCGTGCCAAGGTCTGACCCAAGCTGCAGAAAGTTGCTGGCCACTGCGAGCATCAATCTGAGCATCTATCCCCAGTCACTACTGGCCACTTTCCTGTCTCCAAATCTCTGCAGCCTCTGGCCACAGCTAAGATGCTATCTGTTGACAAGTCCACCTCCAGTGCTATTGCCACAGCCCATCCCAGGGGACTTCAGAAACCAAATATCATCCACAAGATGTAGTTCCCAGCCACTTGGGAGGCTAAAGCAGACCATCACATGGTCAAGGCTGGCCTGGGCAATACCATGAGATCCTGTCTAGCAAACAAAAACCAAACCCAAATGACATGACGTTGGCTGGTTCTAATGGAGGACATGATCTAGCTTGTGAACTCAGAACTGCATCTGCATCATCCTACAGGGAATGCTGGGAGAGTAGGGCCTCTGTCTTCTCATTTACCAACAGCCATGTCTTTCCTGAACATCTCTTTTGTGACAGTTGTTTAGCATAAACGTTTTATTGTTGCTGTTGTGTGTCTGTGCATGATACATGTGTGTGAGTCCTGGTATGCCACTGCACATGTGTGGAGGTCAAGAACAACTCCCAGGAGTTGTTTTTCTCCTTCCACCGTAGGTTCCGGGGATCGAACTCAGGTCCTCAGTTTTGGTAGCAAGCACCTTTACCCATTGATCCATATCCACTGAGCGTGAATAAATGTGTTCAACATGATTGACTAGACTGCTGTACCTCTCTCAGCTCTCTTTTCTTCTCTGTGAAACAGAGAAAATAACGTGACCTTTCAGGGTTATAAGGACCAAAAGAACTCATCCACAGAAAGTACTTCTTAGCCCAGCACTCAAGAGGCAGAGGCAGGTAGATCTCTTAAGTTTGAGGCCAGCCTGATGTACAAAGTGAGTTTCAGGACAGCCAGGGTTACACAGAGAAACCCCGTCTAAAACCAAGATTAAAAATAGAAAGTACTTCTTGTTTTTTATTTTATTTGAGATAGAGCCTCACTGTGCAGCCCAGGATGGCCTTCAACTGACTGTGTAGCCAAGGATGGTCCTGAACGACTGATCCTCCTGCCCCCACCTCCAGAGTGCTGGGATCACTTGTGTATTTAGAACAGCTGGGTACATATTACCCATGTCCTAACATTGGCCAGTATTACAAAGAAAGTCCTTAGGCCAAGACAGCCTCTCGATACCCCGACCTCCCCACCGGCCAGTGTTAGGTGGGTAAAATAGTCACAGGTGGGGTTTCTTCCAGTTTCTCTCCAAGTGCATAGGTGGGCTCCTTTAGCTCAAATCTTTTTCCTTTCTTTTCTTTTTCTCTTTTTTTTTTTTTTTTCAAAAACAAGAGCACAGTAATAAATATCCAACAGGCCTATTTGAATGAAGTGGAGGCACATTTGCATTATAAAGATAAATCAATAGAATCTTGACAGTTAGAGCCCTGGTCCATTAGCAGCCCCGCTTCACTCTCTGGGCAGGAATCTCACAAAGGGCAGGCTGAGTTGACAACAGTTTCAATATGAAGGGTGGTAGCATCGAAAAGGACACAGAACAATCATATTAGAATTCAAGGAAAAGATTCTTGGGTAATTTTTGCTGGCGTCATCATCCACCCCCTTCTCCCCACACCATCTCCTTCCCCTATTTTTTACTTGTTCATCCAAATGAGCTGTCAAGAGCTGACGGGCGTCTTGGTAATCAAAGAAAACAAGTTTGCCCTTTAAAGCAAAAAAGGCAATTTGGCTGAAAGCAAATTGGAAACATTCCCTTGGGCTCTTGAGTTTCCAGCCTCAGTCTCCAGGGAATTCTGGGAGTTTTGATTGATGCCTGGAGAACTCTGAGAACAATATGGAAAAGTGTGTCTGTCCAGCGCTTCCTTCATTCATCCTGTGGCCTCGGGCAGGCACCCTTCATCTGAGGAGCTGGGAAGAGGCACCACAGCTGTTCAGAACACTTTCAAGTCAGGAAAAGGCCCCTAGGGAACTCACTCTAGGATGACCGAGGAGGAAGTGAGAATGGGTCCTAGGGAAGCAAGATGGTGGTACCACCTTGGGCTGGGTCTTCAGCCTTTGAGAAAGTTCTGACCCTGGGTGTGTTTTAATTGGCCAAGGAGCCTCCCATCCTTCTCAGCAGATATGGCGCCTCTCTTCTCTGCCCTCAGACATATTTATTAGATACCCATCCGATTGCCTCTCTGTCTGTGGTTTGATGAACTAAAGATAGCCTCCTGTGGCTTTCCATGGCACTTTATCCTCCCGCATCTTTATCTGGATCCCTCTGATCACCATCACCAGTGCTATGTTATTTGATTAGCTAAGGCTCTTGGATTGAATATTTGCTCAGCTGAGCCTCTCTGATGGCAAACAGCAGAAACAAATGGTGGCTGGGCCTAGCAATGAAAGCAACGCTGCTCAACCAGGCTTCAGAGCTCAGACAGCAGCCAAGGAACACTGTTGTTCCTCTTCTCCCGCCCCTGCTTCAGAGTATGGATTAGCAGGGTCTTCAAGAAGGAGCAGGAAGCTTGGCATTCCTCACCCCCACCCCCATGGCTTCCCCTCAGAGAGAGTGTGCAAGACTATGTGATGGACAGTTCCACCAAGACCATAGTGACAGTCAACTTTCTTATCATGGCAGGGTCCCTGAGGTGACTGACTTGTGAAGGGGAAAGGGCTGTGGTTGGAGACTCCACTGATTTGGATGCTATGGTGGGACAGTGCTTCACATCACAGCAGAGCCTGTGAGAGGAGCTTGCTTCTAAGTGGTATGGAGAGAAAGTGAGGGGAGGGGAGGGAGAGAAAGAGAGACAGTGTGAGTGTCCCTTTCAAGGGCACCCCCCCATGGCCCTATGAACCTTGAACTAGCCAGGTGTGGTATGGTTACCCATGCCTTTTGATCCCAGCACTCAGGAGCCAGAGGCAGGCAGATCTCTGTGAGTTCAAGGCCAGCCTGGTCTACATAGTGAGTTTCAGGTTAGCCAAGGCTAACACAGTAAGACCTTGTCTCAACACTCACCCACCCTACAGAAAGGAAACCCTAACAGTCTCCCCACTAGGCCCCACCTCTTAAAGAAACGTCCCACTACCTCTGCATAGCATGGGCAGGGGACCAATGCTTTAAAACACCTATGGGGTTTTGCACAAAGCACAACAATTGCCTATCCCAGGGAGAGGCTGCTTTTTGAGGGAAACCTGGGTGCATTCACCTGATGAGGACACAGACCTCCACAGCCAGAAATAGCAGTGCCACTGTCCCTTCCAATGCTGAGGTCTGAGAGTATGTCCTCTGTCCTCCCTTCTAAACACTCTCTGGGCTTGGCTTCCCCAGTCACAGGTGCACCCTGAGGAGCCCCTGCTGGTATAAGTAGGCCCTGCTTCTTGGGAGAAGGGAAAGATGGTGGGCAATTAGGGGCAGGCTGAGCATGGAGTTAGGAACTAGGGTGTGGCTAGCATTCAAACATGATACCACAATGTTCCAGACTTACACTTCTGTTTCCCTGGGCCTAAAAGTAATACTAGTTGTTTGCTGAGGACTCATCAAGTCAGAGCCTCATGCTTCCCATTGACCCAAGGATTCCTGCCTTACAGTAAAGGAAGCCCAGGTCCCCTAAGCAAGGACTGGGGGTTCAAGTGGTGCTGCTGCAAGCTCCTGCCACAGCCATTGTGCTACCAAAGCCACAGGAAAAAAAAAATTTTTTTTTTCTGAGTAAGGATTTCTCTGTGTAGCCTTGGCCATCCTAGAATTCACTCTGTAGACCAGGCTGGCCTCAAAAATCAGAGATCTGCCTGCCTCTTCCTCCCAAGTGCCAGGATTAAAGGTGTGCACCACTGTGTCCAGCTTGCAAAAAAAAAAAAAAATTTATTGGTTTCTGATGTCATCATTGAGGTTTTTTGAGACAGTAGTTCCAGACAAACCTTTTACTTGTTAATAATTGTGGGTTTACAGAAAAAAAAAAAAAAGCCTAGATAAATAATATAGATTGTCTACATCCTTCATTCAGCAACCCCTGATGTTACTTCATAGGTCAGGACTACAGAAGTAACATTGCTATCTAGTGTGGCCACACAGGCCTGTAATCCTCAAGTTCCAGGTCAGCCTGACTACATGAGACTCTGTCTCAAACAAAGAAACAAAATAATTAAGACACTAATGATAGAATTCTGTCAGGCAAAGCTGGGACTTGGTGACTTCCCAGACGTTATAGGGATGCCCTTTCTATTTCAGAACAGAGTCCACACAGAGGCTCTTCACCTTCCTAACACTGCGACCCTTTAGTACAGTTCCTCATATTGTGGTGACCCCAGCCATAAAATTATTTCATTGCTACTTCATAATCACAATGTAAATATCTGATATGAAAGATATCTGATATGCGACCCCTGTGGGGTCTCAACCCACATGTTGAACCACTAGTGCAGGCCATGAATTGATTTTCAGAAAAATGGGACTGGCCTTCCCCCTCCCTCCTCCTCTTCTGTTTGTTTGTTTTTGGCATTTGAGACAGGGTTTCTGTGTGTAGCCTTGTCTGTCCTTGACTCACTCTGTAGACCAGGCTGGCCTCAAACTCACAGAGATCTGCCTGCCTCTCCCTCCCTGAGTGCGCCACCACACCCGGCTCCTCCTCTTCTTTCTCATTTTTTCTTCCAAGTGTTGGCGTTACAGGCCTGTTCCACCTGTTCTACCACATCTGGTGGACTGTTTGTTTGTGTTTATTTACTTATTTAATTTTGAGACAGGGTTTTTCTGTGTAGCCCTGGCTATTCTGGAACTCTGTAGACCAGGCTGGTCTCAAATTCAGAGATCTTCATGCCTCTGCCTCCTGAGTGCTGGAATTACAAGCATGCACGATCCCTGCCCAGCTTAACTTTATTTATTTATTTGCTTTTGGAGTTTTGAAAATGTGCTCAGGCAGGCCTTGAACTCTCAGCTCTCATCCTTCCGGACCCTTTTGGGTGCTGATCTTCAAGCATCACATTCCCAAAATAAACTGTATTTTGAAACTATTCTTACCACTCCACCCTAGTTTTCTTTTCTTTTTCTTTTTTTTTTTTTTTTTGTGCTTTTTTTTCTTTCATGTGCTTAGTGTGAAGATATCATATCCCTTGCAATTGGCTTTATAGACAGTTGTGAGCTGCCATGTGGGTGCTGGGAATTGAACCCAGGTCCTTTGAAAGAGCAGACAGTGCTCTTAACCACCGAGCCATCTCTCCAGCCCCTAGTTTTCTTTTTTAAGATTGATTTATTATGTATACAGTATCCTGACTGGATGTACCCCTGCATACCAGAAGAGGGCACCAGACCTCATTATAGATGGTTGTGAGCCACCATGTGGTTGCTGGGAATTGAACTCAGGACCTTTGGAAGAGCAGCCAGTGCTCTTAACCTCTGAGCCATCTCTCTAGCCCTCTATTCCAGCTTTCAAATCAATACTCAAAAGTTACCTGCTAGGCTCAGGGGAGATGGCTGCTTTGGGTGCCTATCACACAGCATGATGACCCAAGTTCAATCCCCAGCACTCACATAAAAATCCAAGGACAGTGGCAAGGACTTATAATCGCAGTTTTGGGGAGGAAGGGAGAAGAGGAGTCCTGGGGCTTGCTGGCAGTGAGCCTACCTGAACTGGTGAGGTTCAGTCTGTGGAAGACCCTGCCTCAAACAATAAGGTGGATATAAAGAAAGACACCCGATGGGGACCTCTGGCCAGCATATAGACATGCAATGTGTTCGCACACATATGCACAGATGCACACACTACACCCCCACATATATATGCACATGTGCATGCCTACACGCACACACTATTCACACATGCGCTTCTGGAGTATGCTGGTGCACTGTTACCTACCCGGCTCACTCTGACCCCACTGCTGGCTGTGACCTGTCAGCTCTGTCCGTGTCCTGTCCTATTCATGTCCTACTCCATGACCTGTTCTACGGTGTCAATGTCCTCTCCTACTCTGTGGCCCATCCCGCTCTATCCATGTCTGGTCCTCCTCTGTGACCTGTCCTGCTCCTTGTCCCAGCCTCCTCTGTGTCCTGGGCTTCTGATGTGGCAGTCTGTGATTCAGGCGCTTCAGTGACCTCCCACTGGTCTGTCAACATGGGGAGGAAATGCATGTGGGGAAAGGTTGCATTTCCATTCTCTGCATGGACATCACTTCCAGCCACAGCTTCAACTCCTCTAGGGTCTGCTGCCCCATGATAAGCCCCTCTGTCCATGTGGCTTCCTGCTACTGACACTGCTGGGTGACCTCAGCTACCTGAAGCTGGCCTCTCTACATTCCTGCCCCTAGGGTAACCCCCATATGTAGGTCCTCAGAGCAGTGGCTGCTTCTTGCCTGATATACATGCCTGGGACTCACCCTCAGCCCTCTTACCCTGGCGGCTCAAGTACCAGAACAGCGCTAAAAGATAAATCTGACAGGGTGGTTCATGCCTGTAATCCCAGCACTTGGATCAGGAGGAAGGACAGCCTAGGCTATGAGAGATCCCATCTCAAAACAAAACAAACCCAAAGACAAAAGAGCCAAGAGCAGCTTCAAGATACTGCACAGCCATCATGGCCAGCAGTGAGGTACCTAACAGCCACTCCTTCCTTTGCAGGGTTACCGGGGATTGTAAAAGCCAGGAGAGCCTTGAACTGGCTGCATCTCAGTGCCAGGGTATACAGAGGCAAAGCCAGCTGCTCCAGACATGGCCTTGGACGTCCTCAGCATGGCCCCTAACTACCAAGGCCTGGCCATCCACAGAATTCCGATGAAGACAGGCCTAGTCACAGCCGAGCCAATTAAGGCCTTGGTCCCATCCAAATCCAAGCTCAACACCATTGAGGCCAAGAGGATCATGTCAGTCCTGGATGAGGCCATACACAAGGTGGAGCTGGTGACCCTGATGTCCTACATAGAGTACCACCCAGAGGCTCTGGATGAAATGGTACCCGAGGACTTGGTAACGGCCATAAGAGAGCACTTGAATATCAGCCAGGCCCTGCTGGAGAGTGCCAGCATCGTACAGGAGAAACAAAAGCAGCTGGAAGAAGAGGACGAGGACATTGAGGAAAGCTGGGGCCGAGATCGCTTGCTGTCAGTAGAGATACACAAGTCCGACCTGTGGCCGATGACACACCAGTTCCGGGACTCCACCAAGGCTGTCCTAAGGCTCCTGCTTAGTAACCCCCAGGGCGCGAGGCTGCTGCAGATACAGGCACCAGGCAGAAGCCCAGCGGCCCAGTGTCTTCTGGACTGCCTGGTGGAGCTGCGGGGTTTCCTCTTTGAGAAGCTCCTCACCAGCCCCATGGAACTGAAGGAGAAAAACCAATTCATACAGGACATCACCCGGAGGAATGAAAGGAACCAAGAGGTCATCGATGGCCTCCAGGCTGAGCTGGCAAAGGTGCTGAAGAGTAAGGAGTCAGAGGTATGCTTCTCTCACGTCCCCAAGTTAGGAAGGGAATGGATCCTTGGGTTTTCTCTTCATTTATTCCATAGAAATTGATTGAGCATTTTACTAGGAGGTATATTTTTAAGTAAGCCCAGCCTCAAGAGCTCACAGTGTGCATTCAGGGTAAGAACAGGGCACTGTGAAGGGATGCTATGAGAAGACTGAACTTGGGCCAGAAGGACCAGGGACAGTGTCACTAAGACAAGAAGTATAGCAGGGTGGTGGTGGTGACATGCCTTTAATCCCAGCAGAAGCAGGTGGATCTCTTTGAGTTAGAGGCCAACCTAGTCTATAGAGTGAGTTCCAGGACAGCCAAGGCTACACAAAGAAAACTTGTCTTGAAAAACAAAACAAACAAACAAACAAAACAAAAGCTGGGTGCAGTGTTGAACACCTGTAATCCCAGCATTTTGGGAGGCAGATGCAGGTGGATCACTGTGAGTTTGAGGCAAGCTTGGTCTACAAAGTTAGTCCAGGACAGCCAAAGCTTCCTAGAGAAACCCTGTCTAGAAAAAAACCAAGCCAAACTAAACCAAACCAACAAGCTCAAGAAGGTTAAAGAAAAGGGGACTGAACAGACAAGTGAGGAAGACCTTCCCAGCCAGGGGTTGGCAAAGTGTCTACATTACCAAGCAGGTCCTTTGTCTTGGGTGGGATAAACATAAGACGTGGGCGAGGGGCTCAGTGGTTGAAAGTGCATACTGTTCCACTGTTTGTTTGAAACAGGGTCTTGCTACACAGCCTTGGCTGGCGTGGAATGCCACACACCAGGCCAGATCATAGAGATCTGCCTGCCTGTACCTCGTGAGCACTGGGACTAAAGGTTTGCACTACCACACCCCATACATACTCCTCAGAATACGTATATACACCAGGAACCCAGGAGTACTGAAGCAAAAGACTGTAAAAAGAAGCACAGGGATGGGCATGGGTCAGTGAGTAAAAAGCTTTCCATACAAACTGGGGGACTTGAGTTTGAGCGTCAGAGCCCACTTTGTTTGTTTGTTTGTTTGTTTTAAGCTGACATGGGTGGTATATCTCTGTAATCTCAGCACTGGGGAGCCAGGGACAGCAAGACCCATGGGCTCAGTGGCCAGCCAGCCTTCCCAAGCCAACAAGCTCTAGGCTGAAGAAAGAGGAGGATGACACTTGAGGGTGCACACACATGCACACATACAGAGAAGTACAGCAGGCTACTCTTCAGCCATGAACACAGAGCTATGTTTCATCTTAAAGAACAGTTGGAATATTTGAACATTCAAATGTTCTGCAGGTACGCTCAAAGCATACCTGAATGTGCGGCCCAAACGTCCCCGCCCCCAGTGTCCCCAACCCAGATTCTGCTGGTTAGTGTATATAATGAGTCTCAGGGTCAGTTACAATTTAATCTGTCACATCTTGGTGGCTGTGGCTCTTCCTGCACACCTGTCACAGGTGAGCAATGGCAGTCAGTTTGCTTTCTGGCTCTTTATCTCATCTCCAAAGGCTCACACAATCCACACACTGGGCTCAGTGGACTAAAGGTCTCAACATGGTGTGGAAACAGCCATGACAGCATCAGGACAAGAGGGCTGTGTCCCAATAATCGATAATGCTTTTGTTTTTTGTTTTTTTATGAGACAGGGTTTCTCTGTGTGGCCTTGGGTATCTTAGACTCACTTTGTAGATGAGACTGGCCTCAAACTCGCAGAGATCCACCTGCCTCTGCCTCCCAGAGTGCTGAGATTACAGGTATGTGCCACAGCGCCAGCTTCCAATAATTCTTTTTTGACAGATATGGCTGTCTGGATTTGGACTGTGGACCTTCGTTTACCAACCTTTCCCTAGGTGGAGGGAAGCAGATGGTCCCAGGCCTGAGATGAGCATAATTTTACTAGTTCAGAAAGGGAGGGTACAGCCAAAAGCCAGCTGCCCCTGTGATTTTGGAGGGGCTGTGTGGCTATTAATAAGGCCCTGTCGCCATTTGTCCCGGCCTAGGTGGAGAAGGAGAACTTTGTGATCCAGGAACTGAAGAATCACCTGCACCAGGTGTTCAAGTTCTCTGAGAACAGCCTCCTCCGCACAAAGCAGGAGGCCGAGAAGCAGCAGAAGATGGATTACCGGGCCTCTCAGGCCAGGCTGGCCAAGATACAGCAAGACATCCTGGCGCTTCGCTCGCAGTTCCACAACCTGGTCATGGAGAACCGGGAGGTGGAGCAGGCCCTAAGGAAGGTGTGCTGAGGTCAAAGAGGCACAGAGGGGCAGGGCAGGGCTGGCCCAGGTGAGGGGAAGTCCAACACAGGTACATTTCCTGGGAGGTGAGAGCAGGAAACACCTAGGCTTTGTTTTGAGTTTGGATCGAGGAGGCCAAATCCCTGGCCCAAAATGAGGGGAAAGTGACCTTCAAAAAGTTCCTTGACTCCCCTGAGCCCCAGAGATGACCCTTACTTGAAATAAGCTCTCATGACCCTCAGGCAGACTGACCTTGACCCCTCTGCATCTGGTTCCGATGGGATCTGAGGAAGCATGGGCGGAAGCCTGGGAACGGTGTGTGCAGTGGGCATGCGCCAAGAATGGCTACTCCGTTTTCTCTCCATCTTCACCATGCCCTGCCTTCCTTTCAAGTCTCTTTCTGAGGATACCTTCTTATAGACCATTTTCCAGTGTTCTGACTCTTTGAGCATCTCACAGAAGTTGTGTGTTTCTAGAAGAAAGGCACAGCTATGCATATTAGGTTGGTGGACAGTCCTGGAGGGTCACAGATCGCTGGAGAAAGCCAGCGTGCCTTCAGTGCCCACCGTGAGCTGCTCTGTGGGGTCAAGGAGTTCCTTTCCTTGCTGCTTTTTCTTTTTAAGATAATGTGGAGCTGGGAAGATGGCTAAGTGCAAAAAGGCATTTGCTGTCAAACCTGATGCCCTGAGTTCAATCCCCAGGACCCACCTGGTAGGACAGAACCGACTCATACAAGTTGTCCTCTGACTTCTGCACACAGTCCACCATTGCTTTTGCACGCACGCACGCGCACGCACGCACGCACACGCACGCACGCACGCACACTAGTACAAAGGTAGCATTAGACAGTGCAGCACCAGGAACCCTCCACCCTGGAACAGCCCACTGCCCTTTGCTCCCAAGGGCTGTGATCACAGGCACTCACCATGACACCCAGCTGTCTGCTGCTTTCCATTGAGGTAAAATCCACATAAAATGCAAATATCCATTTGAAAGTGGCCTATTCAGTGTCACCGGGCACATCACGTACAGACAGAATCCTGCGACCTGTCTAGTTCCAAACTATCTCATCACCTCAAAGCATAGCACCGGGGGCGGGCAGAAGGGGGCAGCAAGATGGCTCAGTCTGTAGAGGAGCCTGCTGCCAAGCCTGACAACCTGAGTCTGATCCCTAGGACCAGCATGGTGGCAGGAGAGAACCGATTCCTGAAGGCTGTCCTCTGACCTCCACATATGTGCGGTGACATGTCTGCTTACCTCCCACACACAAAACAGATGTAATCAAATCTTTAAAAATATAACTGGGAACCCAGTAGGCTGGGGACTCCTCATCTCATCCCCCTCTGGCAGCAGCTCATCCTCCACTTTCTAAGGATTCACCCACTATGTGTGTCCTATGAATGGAGTCTGCTGCGGGACCTTTTGCTCTGGCTCCTCCCTTCCTTACCACCATCTTAAAGTTCAACCATGGTGGAGGCCTGGCCTTGCTTCATTCGTTTGTATGGCAGAGTCACATTCTATTTTATGTATAAGGAAAAATTATTATTTATTGTGACGGGGTTTCTCTGTTGTAGCTTTGGCTGTCCTGGAACATACTCTGTAGAACAGGCTGGCCTTGAACTCTGAGACTTGCCTGCCTCTGCCTCCTTCCTAGTGCTAGGATCAAAGGTGTGCATTACTGTGCCTGGCCCAAGTGTTTTCTGTTTCTTTGTGTGCAGTGTCATCAGAGGCCAGAGGAAGATGTTGGATTACCTAGACCTGGAGCTGCAGGGGGTTGTAAACTACCATGCGGGTGCTGGGACTCAAACCTGGGTCCTCTGGAAGAGAGACCAGCGCTCTTAACTGCTGAGCCCTCTCTCCAGCCCCAAGTGTTTTTTTAAACTTAAGTTTTAAGTACTAGGGATGGACCTTAGGGCCTCATTCATGCTAGGTAAAGGTTCTGAGCCACATCCACAGCTGGGAGCCGACCCTTTTTTATTTTGGTGTTTTGAGACGGTTTCTCTGGGTAGCCTTAACTGTCCTGGAACTCACTCTGTAGACCAGGCTGGCCTCGAACTCATAGAAATTTACCTGCTTCTGGCTCCCAAGTGCTAGGACTAAAGGCGTGTGCCACCACCGTCCAGTGGGAGCTGAGCTTTTTAAAAATTATTATTGTGTGACTATGCATGTGTACTTGAATGTGTGTACTCTAACACCTGTGTGGAGATCAGAGAACAGCTCTGTTGTCAGTTCTCTTCTGCCACCTTGTGGGATCAAGGGATTAAACTCAAATGCTGAGTGCCTCTACCTATCCACAGAGCCAAACTTACTAGGCCTGTACCTTTTTGTTTTAAGAAAAAGTATAAAGTGGAGACAGAAATTGAAAATTGGATCCAAAAATATGACATGGAGATGAGTGAGAAGCAGGTATGTGCCAGGGGTTCCTCCTGAGGGGCTGGAAGAGATGGGAATGGGGTAGGAGCTACCCAAGATGCCTTAGGTCTCCCCTGGAGACCCTTTGCCTCAAGGGGCATGTCCACGTGTATCTGTGGGAGAGGATATGGGGGAGGGGGGTGGAGGTTAGAGGGTGGATGGTGGTAAAAAGTGGGAAACTGAGGAAATCCGTACCCATCCAGAAGCATGTGGCCCCATTGAATTTCAACCTCCCAGCGTCCTCTCCTCCTGGTCCAGCTCCTACCTGCTTCCAGTTCAGAGGGGAGCCTGCCCCACTTCTGTCATTCAGCAGGCTTTACTGAGCACCTCAAAGGTACCAGGTTCCAGGATGTGGCAGGAAAATGAGACAGTCTTCATTGTCATCTGAAGGTGTCACTATCAACGGTGCCACCTGACATCAGCTGGCCTTTTTGAACTTGAGTCTGACCGTGAGGAACTCCAGCGGTGACATCAGTCCTGGGACCCCGGTGGAGGGTTGATGAGACACTGTAGCTGATGTGTCTGAGCCTGAACTGGGTCTAGATGAAGTCCTGACCTGCAGTGGGAGCCCGTATGGGCCCACCCACTTGCAGGTGACATGGGTGGCACCTGGCTCTGACCTGGGCTGGCCTGGAGAGCAGAGGATTCACACCAGACAGTTAAAGGCCAGCAGGGCCCCTCTCAGCGTGACCACAATGCCCTCCCGGTACAGAAGCTGCGTGGCTGCTGGTCTTGTTTCATGGGTCCCAGTGGAGGGTGTGTGTGGCTGGGGACACGGCTGAGTGGTTCAGCACCTGCCTAGTGCACACAGCATCCATCCAGTACTACAAAACAGACCCTACACACAGGGACCATTGAGAGCTATAGGTTCCTTGCTGGCAGGGATCCTGCCTGCCCAGCCCTTGTGCTCAAAGTGCTCTGCCCATGTCCGTAGATGCTGGTGGAAGGAAGAAGTGGAGGGAGGGGGAAGTTTGTGTGAACTGCAGCAAGGGGGACAGAAGGGGGAGTTTGGGGGATCTCTCTAAGCAGCAGCTTTCCTTGCCCATGGCCTCATTGTGTCCTGGCACTGTGGTATCAGATACGTGGTAGCCAGTTTTCTGCCACTATGCTTAAACACCCGAGGAAAGGAAAAAAGGTTTGTGCTCAAAGTTTTAGAGTTCAGTCTATGGTCACTTGGCCACACTGCCTTGAGCCTGAGGTGGGAACATCACAGAGAGGGGAACAGAGATATTCACTACAGACAGAGTGGCTGGAAATGGGGGAGAAGGAGGAAGAAGAGGAGGGAGACACAGACCAAGACCCCCCCTACCATGAACTACTTCCTCCCAGAAGGCCCCTCCTCTGTCTGTTCAGTGATCCACTGATGAGGTTGGAGCTTTTATGATTCAGTCACCACTCAACAGCGCCACCTAGCAGGGGGACCAGGCTTCCAAACCGTGCGTCTGTGAGGAGCTGTTCATACTGACAACCAAACGTCACTAGATCCCAGAAACTGACCCTGGTACTTGGAATTGTCCCTCCGTTTAAAATGAGGGAAACTAGAAGCTTAAAGGGGATATTCTAAAGTTGCAGAGAAGCTACTCCCGGAAGCTGGGGAGCTGACTCAGCAGGATGCATGCATGCAGGGACAGGGACCTGAGTTTGAATGCCCACCCCCATGTAAGAAGTGAAGAGTGCAGTGTGCTCTATAATCACAGCATCTGGGAGGCAGAGACAGGCAGATCCTGGGAGTTTGCTGGCCAGCCAGCTCCCTCACAGCAGCAGCCTCCAGGTTCAGTGAGAGTGCCTGTCTCAAAAAGTAAGGTAAAGGACACCTGAAATTGACCTATAGCCACGGGCCCCCCTCCCCTCCGGCGGGAACTGAATGTATTCACGTCTGAGCCTACACAAAACACATGCAGCACACCTAGTTTGCACAACTCACAGACCTTGTCCCTCCCTCCATCCCGAGATCCGTTCAGTTGGGTCCTTCCTAGAGCGAGCCCGGGGTTCAGAGAGGCCCTGCATCCCACCCGGCTGGGGCAGAAGCCGGGTGCACGGGGAGCAGGGAGACCGCCTGGTGCTGCGACCCACGCCCCGCCCCTCGCCTAGGAGGAATACGAGGACCTGGAGAGCATCCACAAGGAGGAAAAGCTGCAACTGGAGGAGCTGAAGGAGAGGCATGCGGTGCTGGTGGAAGAGTTCTCCCAGATCCGCACTGAGAGCGAGATCAACTCCAAGAAGAGGGTGGAGGCGGAGCGGGAGATGGTGCGCATGGTGAAGGCCGCCACGCTCATCCAGGCCGTGTGGAAGGGCTATTTGGTGCGCTCCATGCTTAGGTCCAGGAAGAAGAAGCGGGGCAAGGGCAAAGGCAAAGAAAAGGGTAAGGAGAAGAAGGGCAAGGGCAAGAAGAAGTGACTGCAGCCTACCGGGGCCCTGACCTGGCCACGCCCTGCCCAGTCCTGGCGACACCCCACTCCCGCCCCAGCCCTACTGTCCCTGGCTTCAATGATGGGTAAATTAAAAAAAACAAAATGCCTTTAAAACCACACACAAGGGCCATACAGACCCTTCAACAGACGTGTCGCCCCGGGCTGAGGTGGTGTGTGCTGCTGGACGCAGCATACTGAGGAGGGTGCAAACTCTGAGCCCCCCCCCCCCCCCCCCCCCCCCCCCCCGAAATGAGGTCCTGGTCCCAGCCCAGAAGCTACTGGAGCTGCCGTGAGACATCGCCACCAGGCTGCCGTGGGTCTGTCACCACAGCTTCTGCCCGCACACTATGAATCGTCAGGAGGGCAGCAGCCCGTTTTCTGGTGTTCAGATTGTTGCACGATTTTTTAAAAAGTATTAGTTGCCAGAATTTCATAAATTGAGAACTATCCCACAGAAACTTAACTGCCCTTTCTGAAAGGAGCTCATCACCCTGATAGCCCAGTATTCCAGCCCTGTGCCACCCAGAGTGCACAGCAACCACCCAGCAACTTAATTTTCAAAGTATTCCTATGTAGCCCAGGCTGGCCTTGAACTTACAGTGATCCTCCTGCCTCTGATTTCTAAATGCTAAAATTATAAGTATGGGCTGCCTCATCTGGCTGACTCCTTTCTCCACTTAAAAAAACAAACAAAAACAACAGAAAAACAAAGGATGGTGTGGGTGCGTAGTGATGCAGGCCTCACCTTTAATCCCACCACTTAGAAGGCAGAGATAGGCAGATCTGAGTTCAAGGCTAGCCTGGCCTATAAAGAGCTAGTTCCAGTAAAGCCAGAGCTACACTGGAAAACCCTGTCTTGAAAAAAATAACAAGTCTTTTATTTATGTGTTTACCCATGGAGGCCAAAGCGGGGCATGTAACTTATTGGAACTGGAGTTACAGGTGTTTGTGAGCCACTTGAAGAGGGTGCTGAGATCTGAATGTAGGCCCTACCAGAGCAGTTAAATTCTTTTAGCATGAGAGTCCCCCCTTCAGTCTCATTTTTCTTAAAAGGTGTGTGTGTACGCGCATGCACCTGAGTTTATAAACATCACATGTGCGCCTGGTGCCTGCAGAGGTCAGAGGATGCTGGATCCCTGGAGCTGGAGTTACAAGCAGTCATGAGCCACCTGCTGTGAGTGCTGGGAACCAAACCCAGATCCTCTGGAAGAGCAATAAGCACTTAACTGCTGGGTCAGCTCTCCAGTCCTGCTTCCTCCATTTTCTGTGGTTCCCATCAGGTTGCCCTGTTCCGTCACCCCCAACTGCTCTGACACCACAAACCGGTGGCATCACCCTGGGCTCCAGCTAGCATTCAGTGTAGATGGAAGAAGAATGTGTGTTTCTAGTTCTAGCCCGCATCCACCAACACAGAGGAAAGGGGCAGGAAGACAAGAGGCAGGCTAACCAATTCTTTGTGAAAGCTCTAGAGGCTTACACATTTTACACAGCTAAAGCACAAAGCATGTGTGCCTGGACATGACTGACTTACCTCTGCAGGTGATCACACATGTCCCTGGGCCTGTCTATCCCTGCTCTCCCCTGCCCCCAGTAGCATGACTACCCTTTCACAGGGTAGAGGCCACTGGTGGGATGCCCACTGGGCTCCCTGGAATGCTCAGGAAGAGGCTCAAGATCCCATTTGCATCATCCAGGGGAGGATGCAGAACCGTGGATGAACTCTTAGGCTTAGGGCCCCGCTGCAGTGCTGTGGAGTACAGGCCACAGCCAGGCCTAAGGCTCTGCAGACCTCAGCCTGTGTCTGGCTGCCTTTTCCTCTTGGCTCATTTTTTTGGAGGGGCAGGGGGATTGCTGGGGATGGAACCCAGGGCCTATTCATGTATGCTCGGCAAACACTCTACCACCAAGCCATGTCCCCATCCCCTAACAAGACAACTGCTAGCAAAGGACTTTCACCGTGTCCTGAGCCCACAAGAACCACCCACTGGCCTATGTGTGGAGTTGCAGGACAGAAACAGGACTTAGGTAGACTAAGCATTACCTGAGGTCTGTGAGCTCAGACTTGAGCGCCACAGTCATTTCTACCACATCCTCTAGTCACAGCTTTCCTGTTTAGCTCTGCTATTTAAACTGACTGAAGCCTTTACTTAAGGGGGGAAGCAGTACACCACTAGATTTTCGTGAGCTAAATGCATTTAATACGTAGAATAAATACATGAATATTAAGATGGCACCCCATGCTCCACCCTTGGGGTCTATATGCAGCCCAGATCTCTCCCCTAAGGCCTCCAGACCTCTGTGGAAACTGAATCCTGAGCAGGGAAGCTGGGTAGGGTTTGGCACTGATGCAGAAAGGGGCTGAAACATGGTGAAAAGGACATCTCAAGGACTCCAAATACCCTACAGAGGAGGCTGGAGACATCCTGAGTTTGTGGGGACCAAGGAAAGTGTGGCCCATCCTCACCATGTTGACTTCTCCACCATGTTGGGGAGCAGGTCTAAGAGAGACCCTCACCTGGAGCACTTCCTATAAGCCCCACCATCAATTAAAGCCATTCCTTGGTCTTTGAGGAGGGACCCTGCTCCCCAGCAGTCCCCACCTGAGCTGAGGACTGGCTGGGAGCCAAAGGCTTACCTGGTGAGAACTCATTTCCAAGGAGGCTTTGGCCTGGGGGGGCCGACCCCTCGCTTAGGGGCAGCTGGCCCTGAAACACTGCCTGACTGTGCCTTGGGAGTGGCCAGGGGGCTCCGGACAGTCACCCCTGATGTGGAAGGCTGGGGACTCCAAGGCTCATTGGTCTGGGGGACACCGGAAGCTGAATGAGCCATGCTGGGGACAGTTAGGTGGGAGAGCGATTGGGAACGCCTCTGCCCCAAAGAGCAGGAAGCACCCAGCCCATTATGAGACATCTTCGGGGAACCTGTGTCCACTCTGGGCTCTGCCTTGGAGGGTCCAGCTGGGTGAATGGCTCGAACTGGGGTCTCTCTGGGGCAAGGTGAGTGACTGCCCCTTGGGGTGGGTGGCGGCGTCCAGAAAAGGGTCCGGAGCTTGGCAGCATCCCCCATGGCTGTCCGAGACCCCTCCTTGCTGGTGCCCTGTGGCTGGGAGCCAAACAGTGATTCATCACAGTAGGATGGGGTGTGGCCAATCAACCTGGAAAAGGGAAGGGCGCAGTGACCTGGGGTGACAACTCTAAAGCCCTCTACAACCTCACTCCCCACCAGATACTGGAAGCAGCAGGAGCCTGCCTGGTGCCCTCGGGGGGGCCTTGACTTATTCTTCAATAGGCTGACAAGTATCAGCCCAAAACAGCTCAGGGCTTTTCTCCCTCTTCTGGAGACAAAAGGACATGGGGTGGAGGGGAGCAGGTCTAAGAGAGACCCTCACCTGGAGCACCTCCTATAAGCCCCACCATCAATTAAAGCCATTCCTTGGTCTTTGAGGAGGCCACTCCATGAGCCCCTGTGAATACTGTACATGCTCAAGTCTTGTGCAGCAAATGAGAGACACTCTCTTGAACCTACTCAGCTCCAGATTAATGGAGTAATTAGGCCCACTGAGTGCTAAATAAACAGTCATCACACTTAGAAGCTTGGGCCAGCAAGGTGGCTCAGTGGGTAAGGGTACTTATAGCCAAGACTGACAACCTGAGTTTGATCCTTGGGATCCATGTAGTAGAAGGAAAGAACTGACTCCTACAAGTTGTCCTTTGAGCTCTCCCAAACAAAAATATACACAAAAGTATACACTCTTCCCATACAAAAATAACCAAATACAAATGTACTTTTCAAAAAGTCTGTATGAGCTTAGCAGAGATGCAACTTTTTTCCCCTGAATAGTTTTTTTTCCCCAAGAATTGCCTTTAAATTTTTTAAAAGATGTATTATTACTGTGTGTGTGTAAGATGTGGCTATGTGGGCGTGTGTGTACACACATGGAGGTCAGAGGTCAACTCTGTGGAGTCAGTTCTCTTCTTCCACCTTTATGAGGGTTGCAGCAACTGCAGGACACTAGGCTTTTGAGGCAAGAGCCTTTTGTCAATGAGCCATCTCAGCAGCCACCGCTACCATTCATCAGGACCTTCCTATGCATTCCTGATTCCTCTTAGTGCTAGCGTTTTACATGTACGTACCAGTGTGTAGGCCTATGCACCATGTGTGTGACTCGAATGTCAGAAGAGGGGTCGGATGCCCTGGGCCTGAGTGGAGAGTGCTGAGCAGCGAGCATGTGATGTGACTAGCTCTCTCCAGCCCCCACTGCCGCGACTTCTGGTAACTACAGCCCAAACCATGAGCCAGAATAACCCTTATCTCACCTAAGTGCCTTCTGCCAAGAGTATTTTATCACAGAAACCAGAAAAGGGACCAAGAGAGCCACCCTGAGTACAGGGGTGCACCCCCGGCCCATTACCTGTATTTGTTTTTCTTCCTTGGTGTGAGGTTTGGGGTGCTGCCCCTGGAAGGGGTGGACTCATAGTCTCTCTTGGCCAGGGAGACCTTCGGAGGTCCCAGGTCCACTCCTCTCACTCTGTTACAATTCTGTACCCACGGTGGGTCAAAGTCTGGAAGAGTGGGCCGCGTTCCTGCTGGGCTGCCAAACAGGGTCTCATCCACATAGGACGCCCTGGCCTTGACCCTGTAGCTGCTGGGGCTGCGGTGCTGAAGGTGGAGCGCCTGCATTCTGCAGTGGGTCAGTTCCACTGGGGTCCTCACGCTGCCCAGTGGGTGTGCTCTGCGGCTAGATAGACTCAGCCTCCAGGGCTCCCTGTGGAAGGGGGCAGAGTGAGGTAAGAGCAGGGTCAGGTAAGTAACAGCAGCAGCCTGGAGTCTCAAGCCCAAGGGCAAAGAGGGCTTTTCCCTGCTGAGGGAAAGCGACTGTCTTTCTCAGAGGGGGATTGTTTGTCAGGGGGCACCGTAGAAATGCTTCACTCTCTTGCCCCTCCCAACCCAGAGTTTTATGTAGCCCAAGCTGGCCTGGAACTCACTATATTATACTATATTATATAGCCAAGATTGACCTTTAACTTCGGATCCTCCCGCTTCTACTTCCCACGTAGAATTGCACGATCGCCTGGCGTCTGAGGTGCATGGGTTCGAACCCCGTGCTCTGTGCATGCCGCAGGCTAAGCAGGCACTCCTGTCTTTTTAGTTGTCAAGACATGGGAAAATGCTGTCAGCAAATATTTAATGAATAAACAGATACACACTTTTAGCCTACAGTGTATGCTCAACAAATATTTATAGTACGATAATGGGCGTGCAGGGGGATGGCACTAACCAGACAAACTAATTATGGTGGGAGAGGGAAAGGGGCTCCCAAGCCACTGTCACCCCCATGCCTACCTTGTGCAAAGCGCTTTACAAACGCAGTCAGTTCTAGTCCTCGCCAGCAGCCCGGTTTGGTCTCTTACATTCAATCCATTTTCCCCGATCACAACTCAGGCTCCAAACAGCGGAGTAAAAGCGCAGGCATCAGGGGAACTCTGTGTCCGGCGCTTTTCCTACCCGGGCCTCTGGCCAGCAAACTCCGGCTCTGCCGCAGATCCCGGTACAGCACGGCATCCGCACCGGTGCCACAGAGACACGCGCCCACACGCATCACGCTGGGCAACAGGAGCGATGCCCCGCCCCACGCAGCTGGGACGTCCCTAAAGCCTACCCCCGCGCAGATGGTACGGACCACAGGACACACCCCCGTTTCGTTTGCGTATCGCAGGCCCCGCCCTGTGTAGTGGGTACATTGCTCATGCCCTTCCACCCTCTCAGTTGGTACGTCCCTCAGGTCTCGATATCGCGTAGTTGATACATCCCTTAAACATCTATCACCGCCCATTTGGTACATTCCTCAGGCTTCGCCCTCAGTAGTTGGTATGGCCCTCAGGCCCCGCCTCCGCTGACACGTCCCTTAGGCCCCGACCCCAGTTCTGTTGGTTCGTCCCATTGGTGAGGCCACGTCGACGCCCCGTCCCCTGTGCAGTTGGTTGGTCCCTCAGACCGCGCCCTATGGGTGAAGCCGTTCGTCCCGCAGGCCCCGCCCCCGCGCAGTCTGTGTGTCCTGTAGGCCCTGCTCTCTTCCGGGTCCGAGTTTTCTCCCCCCCCCCTCCCGGCCCGCATGGCGGCTGGTAGGTGCGTGGGGCCCGGTCCATGGTCGCGGTCCGCCATGGCTCCGCGGAGGAAGATGAGCTTGAGGAAACGCCGAACTACGGCTTCCCAGGTCCACGAGAGCTACTCGGATGATGGGGAGTTCGAGATCCAGGCGGAGGATGACGCCCTGGCGCGAAAGGTAGGAACGCGGGGGCCCAGGTCGGGCCCTCGGCCTGCGCTCTTCCGCTTGTCCGTCTCATGATCGTGGGCCCCCATTGGGTGCCTTCGCGCGGGGGCGGGGTCCAGTTTAAGCGGCCAATGGAAAGTGCAAGTGCCTGATTTTGGGGTGGTCTTAGGACATAAAATAAAGGAGAGGCTGGACTAGACCTCTGAGAAGCTGGGTTATGAACTAAACTGGTATTTGCGGACGTTTGTCCTGCTTCAGCTGCGCCGGCCTCATCAGCGCTATCAGAGGGGACAGCAGTAATGAACCTGGGGATGGTCTGGTGTGTGCACGTGGGGACACAGGTGTGAGCACCAAGGTAGGCAGACGCCTACCTTGACGCCCACCGTCCTGTGCACAGCGGGTATATCTCTTCATTTCTCCAGCTCAGTCAGTGAGCTGCACTCAGTAGACGGTCAGTAAATGCGCAGAAACCGCTAAAGGCAACGAGAACGCAGGTGGCCATTGCCAAAGAATCGAAATCTGCCCACGTGGTTCAGACCAAGGGTTTTGCTGAGGCCCGGTCCTGCACGGGCTATGGGACATTCTGAAGAAGTTGCTCAACTTTTTTACAAGTTAAAACTCAGCTTGTGGGCTCCGGATGTTGCTCAGTTGGTAGAGCGCTTGCCTGGCGTGTGCCGAGCATTGGGTTTGATGTCCCATCACCACGTAAAAGCAGATCTTGTGGCACACACCTGTAATCCTAGGGTAGGCGTGGTGAAGGCAAGAGGATCAGGAATTCAAGGCCACCCTTGGCTATATAGTGAGCTGGTAAGAGCTACACCACCAATCCTGAATATTTTGCTTTACAAAAGACATAAAGGATCCTCCAACTTGGGAAACACACATACTTATTAAAGATCTGTCACACACTTAGTATAGAGCTGGGAGAGTAGCCAAGTCCACACTATAGCATTGAGCTGACTCACCCCCGTCCCCCAAACCAACAACAACAACAAAATCTTTGTATAGTGAAACCAGAATACTGCATGGATAGCCGAGTCAACTTCAAATGGTTCAGGACAGCCTCTTCATTCCTCCCTCCCCCACCTTTAGTTTTGGCAGACCAGACCCAGGACTCCAGGAGGGGTGGGGACAGGGGATTCCCAGGCAGAATGCTTAAACTAGTAACAAAAATTCCAATGGGCAAAGCTTAACAACTTGTCAGGAAGGTTATTTGCCTTATATTAATTTTTGTATTTATTCACTTGTTATGTTTTATTTTGAGACAGGTCTCACTCTTTAGCCCAAGCTGTCTTTGAACTCAGCAAGATCCTCATGCCTCTGCTTCCGGAGTGCTGTGGCTGCACCACCACAGCCCATCATATTAAAGTGGTAGGCAGGGTCTTCTGTAGCCCCGGGTAGTCTTAGATTCACTGAGGAGCAAAGGATGGTTTTGATCTCTTAACCCTCCTGCCTCCTGAGTGCTGGGATGGCAGGTTTGTGCCACTACATTCTTTCTGGGGCCTGTGATAAGTTATACAATCACTGCTTCAAAGGTTTAAAATTTTTTTAAGTGACTTGATGAATTTCATCAAAAGAAGTCCAGTGAAGGAATTGGCTATGATGCCACACACCTGTCATTTCAACCCAGAAGGTGGAGGCAAGAGGATTGGGGGGTTCAAAAGGCCAACTTGGGCACAGAAGACCCTGTCTGGAAAAGACCAAACCAAAACAGAAATGTTATGCAAAAACACATAAAGTATGTTATTTGTAAGCCAGAAAATAAGTTGAGAGACCAGAGAGGTGGTCCAGTAGATAGGAACGGTTGCCCGATGAGCCCGGTGACCTGAGCTTGATCCCTGAACCCAGCTTACAAGGCTGGATGTGAGAGCTGGAGAGATGGCTCATGAGTTTAGAGCACTGGCCACTCCTTCAGCAAACTGGGATGCAAGCGCCCTGCACAAGTGTTGCCGGCTGTAAAAGTTATCTCCTCTCACTGCCTCCATCTGCTAACCCAGACCTAGTCCTAGGAGCTTCCAGCCTCCGTAGGATCTAATTTTTTTCTGTTTTTTTTCCTGGTTTCTCTGTGTTGCCCAGGCTGTCCTGGACTTTGTAGCTTTGTAGACCAGGCTGGCCTGGAACTCAGAGATCCGCCTGCCTCACCCTCCCAAGTGCTGGGATTAAAGGTGTGTGCCATCATGCCTACCCTGCTTTCAAGTGCGGGTGCTTCTTTCTACAAACTGACTTTACCTTCACTGTTTGGGATTAAAGGTGTGTACTCTGGGTTCGTCTATATTTCAGCCAGAATAGCCTTGTTGTTATCTCTCTATATCCCATACTCCCTCCCCCACGCCCCAGTTCCAGGGGTTCCAGCATCCTCTTCTGGTCTCTTGGGTGCTGTACTCACATAGTTCATATAATCTATGCAGGCAAAACACATTTAAGGAGCTAGATGTGGTAGCATGCGTCTGTAATCCACCCAACATGTCACCGTAAATATCTGTGTTGGTTCTCACCACTGAATCTCTGGTATCCAGTTACAGAATCCGGGTTCATCGCATATTTATAGCTTTATGATAGTAGGCTTAGAGTCTCTTCTGAGAGAGATGAAATAATGAAATAAGATTCAGGATGAAATGAGAAAGGGATAAAAAAAGGCCAGGTCTAATGGTACAGGACTGTGATTCCAGTTGCTTAGGAGACTGAGGCAGAAGGATCGCAAGTTCCATGCCAGCCTGGGCTGCATGGGGAGTTCAAGGCTAGCCCGCTAACTTAGTGAGACTACGTCTCAAGAATAAAGAATAAAAAGAGGGTTGGGGATGTAGTTGAGTGGTAGAATATTGCCTAATATGTGCAGGGGCCTGAGTTCCATCCTGGGTACCATCAGAACAATAGAAACATTTAGTGGGGGAGGCAGGGAGTCTTGTGCCATAAAGTGAGATAACGATTTTTATAAGAATAGAAAGAAATTGTTATTAAAAAAAAATTAATCAAATAGGAAATGAGGCCAAGCATAATGGCCCACACCTTTAATCCCAGCACTTGGGAGACAGAGGCAAGTGAGTTTGATCTGCATAGTGAGTTCCAGGCTAGCCAGGTGCATGGCCATTCCACAGGCACATCCCAAGTTACTATAGATACACATAGCGCACACACACACACACCTGGGTCCTCAACCTTCAGCAGCTGCCTCTCCTGACCAACCCTGGGTCTTTATACACCCCACTTAACCTCAGTTTCTAGAAGGGTATGCTTAGGCTCAGGGATGAGGCAGACTAAGTCCGGCTGGCAAGCCCTGTAGTTACTCTGCAGAACTTCCCTGCACCTCTGCCCTGGCCTGGCTTTCCAAGGAAAGCTTGTTGGAGAATTGTTCTGCTTGCAGGCCTTCCACCCTTGTGGTCAGTCAGAGCTGATGCTGACTCTCCATTCCTCCCCCTCAGCTGGGCCCCGGCAGAGCCTTGCCCTCCTTTCCTACCTCAGAGTATGGATCAGATGTGGAGCCCGACACCCGGGAGATGGTACGAGCCCAGAACAAGAAAAAGAAGAAGTCTGGAGGCTTCCAGTCCATGGGTAGGTAAACAGGCTGGTAGCTGGGGCCCTGGGGAGCAGCTGGGAGTGAGGGGAACGTGGTATCATTGTGCCCTCTGTGCTTGGTTACTGATGTCTACTGTAGGCCTAGCAGTGTGGTTTGTGTCAAATAGACTGAGGCAGTAGAAACAAGTAGTCTTTCATGGCAGGCTTGGAAAGGGGGCCACCTCTGCAAGCACAGAAGGTGGCAGAGGGTTCAGTGTTGGACAGGAGGGCAGCCTTGAAGAGATGGGCACGAATAGGGTGACACTTGCATGGGAATTACAGCTTAGGTGCCCTGCCCTTCACACAGCAGCAGCTGCCACGGCAAGGACTGAGACACCCCCTGGATTACTTCTAATAGCAAAAAAAAAAAAAAGGATCTGGATGTGGTGGTGCATGCCAAGGCCACACAGTAAAACTCCGTCTCATAACAAAACAAAAATATCTACAGCTTTTGGGACAGACAGAAGGTTATCATCTATAATATGCAAGGAGTTCTTACAAATTAACAAGAAAAGGCAGAAGCCCTGAGAGAATGGGGTGAAGAAACTGCATAGATGACTCACAAAAGCAATCTAGATGGCTGTTTAGATCAAAAGCAAAGTGCTGGGGCTGGAGAAATGGCTCAGAGGATAAGAGCACTGTCTGCTCTTCCAGAGGTCCTGAGTTCAATTCCAGGCAACTACATGGTGTCTTGCAACCATCTATAATCTGAACTGTTGCCTTCTTCTGGCATGTGTGTGTATAGGCAGATAGAGCATTCATATACATAAAATAAATTTAGAAAGCAAAACAAGACAAAAAAGGCAAAGAATCAGGGCACTCTTGAGAATCAGGGGACTCCAGCAGAGACATACATGTAGGCACGGGGAAGATAAAGGGCTGACCAGTGTGGAGTATGTAGCAAGGCCTTGTCTTGGACGGGAAAGTTGAAATGAGAGAATTCCAGCAGATGTCAGGTGGAGCATCCCTTCTGTAGTTTGGTGTCTTACACTCCTTTAACTTTCCATTTTCTGCTTTCCGTTTTTCTCTCTGTGTGTCGGTGGACAACGCAGTCTTTTGTCCTGTAATGTCTGGTGGCCACTGTGGCCCCCAGACCCCTGACCACTCCCATGTCTCTCCCAGGCTTGAGCTACCCTGTGTTCAAAGGGATCATGAAAAAGGGCTACAAGGTGCCAACACCCATCCAGAGGAAGGTAAAGAGCCAGGGCAGCAGACTGGGGCGACAGCGGGCAGTGGCCGTGGGACAGCTGTTCCTGCTCCAGATATCATCTTGCTTGTCCTCTTCTCTGGCTGAAGCCATTTCATGGGGGAGAAGTTGGGTCCAGCAGAGCCCATACGCTGTGGGAATCCGTGAGGGGCTGGGCTGTAGCTCTCTGCCTCTTGTCATGCTGAGCCCGCCCAGGCAGCTCACAGGTGCCCTGTGATCACCCGACACTTGCAGTTGGCTGCAAGGGAGACAATGTGAGGCCGACAAGGAGGTGCGGGTGCTCATTCCTAGCTGAGAGGCTGATGGCTCACCTACCCCAGCCATGCTGGAGCCAGAGCTGACCCTGCCTCCATCGTGTGTCTGATAGACCATCCCCATAGTCTTGGATGGCAAGGATGTGGTGGCTATGGCCCGGACAGGGAGTGGCAAGACGGCCTGCTTCCTCCTCCCGATGTTTGAGCGACTGAAGGTGCATAGCGCGCAGTCCGGGGCCCGGGCCCTCATCCTCTCACCCACCCGGGAGCTGGCACTGCAGACCATGAGATTCACTAAAGAGGTATGGGTAGTACCTGGTGGGAAGTCATGAGGAGGCTAAGACAGCATGCCCATTCTGGCCTTCGATCCCTCTGTCTCCCTCTCTCCACAGCTGGGCAAGTTCACAAACCTCAAGACTGCCTTGATCCTTGGTGGGGACAGGTAAGGACCCCTTACCCCGTGTCCCAGCTTCCCTGTGCAGGCCTCAAGGGTTCCCTTTGTGGGCCTGAGTTGCCAGTCAGTAACAACAGCTTCTCTGCATGTTCAAGGGGACATGTGGTAGAAGCTGGGACAGGTCCCTCTGTCCCTGTCCACTAACTGTGTTGGGTCAGGGCGTTTGGTGAGACCTTGGTTGGATATGTCATTCTCTGGGTGCCATGCTAAGGCTGCAATCCATCTGTCCTGCTCACCTGTTCCAGCTTCTACCAAGAGTAGTAGTCTGTGATTGTTAGAAAGCCTACCTTCCCTAAGCTACATGAAGCCAGAATCCCCACTTCTACAGCTGTCCCAGGGGTGCTTCAGGACAAGCCAGGGACTGGCACTTACTTGGCCATTGGTAATTTGTGCTAGGTGAAGCCAGTAGTTCCAAGCTGAGTCACTAGGTGGTGCTGTGGGTTGGCGACAGCTTTGGTGTGGCTCCAGCCAGAGAGGACAACCAGTGCCTAAGGTTCTCCGTTGTGTCTCAGCTAGGGCAGTGCTTTGGCCAGGTGTCTCATAGTAGCCATTTCTCACTTTGGTACCTGTGGTGTGTGTCCCATGGTGAGGTGTGGGGATGCTGGGCGATGGGATACAGGATGGACAGACTCAAAAGCTCTGTCCTCTCAGGCTGACTCTGCTTTCTTTCTAGAATGGAAGACCAGTTTGCAGCCCTGCATGAGAACCCCGACATGTGAGTTTGTTGTTGGGATGTGATACTCTGGGGCCTCTTCCCAGAGAGTGGTTTGGAGGGTGCCAGGGGTGCTGGTGGAGCCCTGGACCTGGGGTGACCTGACCTGTGTATCTCTTATAGAATCATTGCCACCCCTGGTCGGTTGGTGCACGTGGCTGTGGAGATGAACTTGAAGCTCCACAGTGTGGAGTATGTGGTTTTTGATGAAGCAGACAGGTGAGGCCCTGTCTGCACGGAGATACCTCTGAGCAACTGTCAGGGATGTTCTCAAGGCCCAGGAAGCAAAGAGAGGGGAGGTCACAGGAGAATAGCTCTGCCCAGGGAGACCAGAATGTGTGTTTGAGTAGTCCCATCCCTGGGAACTACTAATCATTTTAAGTTTATGTTTTAGTACTGATAAGAATGCTACATTCGGGGCTGGAGAGACAGCTCAGAGGTTAAGAGCACTGTCCTTCCAGAGGTCCTGAGTTCAATTTCCAGCAACCACATGGTGGCTCTGAGATCTGGTGCCCTCTTCTGGCATGCAGGTGTACATGCAGATAGAACACTCATACATTAAAAAAAAAAAAAACAAACAAAAAAAAACCCCAAACTCTTCTAAAAAAAAAGAATACTACATTCAGTGCTGGCTCTCCACAGTGGGGAATGTTTGCTAAGGATGCCTAAGGCTGAGTTCATTCCCCAGCACTGGGAAAACAGACATACAAAAGATTAACAGCAGCACATGGCAGTGATTCTGGAGTGAGGGTAGTCAGGGTTCTAAGCGCTTTAGGATAGAAGCTCTTCTCCTGACCCTCCCTGCCCGCCACTCACTGCAGGCTCTTTGAAATGGGGTTTGCTGAGCAGCTACAGGAGATCATAGGCCGCCTTCCTGGGGACCACCAGACAGTGCTCTTCTCAGCCACATTGCCCAAACTGCTGGTGGAATTTGCCCGGGCAGGTGAGCCACTGGGGCATGCTGCTGGACTAGGTGGGGTCTGGGATCTTCCTTCAGTGACCCCTGCACTGTCCTCCACACCCGAACAGGCCTCACAGAACCCATACTCATTCGTCTGGATGTGGACACAAAGCTGAGTGAGCATCTCAAGGTGAGGCCCTATTGGGCCCCTTTTCCAGGCTAGTGGCCAGGCAGGGTCTGCTGGCTCGTGGCCAGGAGCCCACAGCCATCCTTCTCCCTGCAGACCTCTTTCTTCCTCGTTCGGGAGGACTCCAAAGCTGCCGTGCTCCTCCACCTGCTGCGTAGTGTTGTGCGACCCCAGGACCAGACTGTCGTGTTTGTAGCCACAAGGTACCACGCAGAGTTCCTCACAGAGGTAAGCAGGGCCTCTATGGGATGGGGAGATCAAGTGGGCTCTCACACCAGCCTCATTTGGAGCCCAGAGCTCCACTTTCAAGGAAGACCACCAGAGGGCAGCAGCAGAGCAGCCATGAGCCTGGGTGGGGCTTTCTCCGCACACTGACATCAGAAAACACCAGTAAACTGTCAGTGCCAGTTGTGTGGGTGCCACTATTGCCAGCATCCCCCAGCTGGTCTTGGCCTGTCTGGCATTCTGTCCAGATCGTCTGCAGCAACTCGCAGTGGACTTGGATTTTTTGAGAGGGTGGATTTCCAGTTGGTGACATCCCTGGCATCTAGGCATAATGTTAGCTCATTGTGGTGTGGTACGCCTTTGGCCTTTTCTGCACATTCACACCTGTGTGACCCTTAGCTAGATGCAAGTCTGGGGAGTCCCAGTAGCCTGGAAGGCTGGGGGAGGAGCTGTCTAGCCACTGTCTCACACCCCAGCAGCCACACCTGGGCCCTGTGGAGGACACGGGTGACCGACATGTTAATGGCCCTTTCCTCCCCCGAGCATCTGAGACCGAAATAGTAACATTGAGAGAGCGGTTGATGCACTCTCGGGCTTCCTGTGTTTTAGGCTCACTCCTCAATGGTTCATTAGCCTCCTAGTCCTGTGAGCACAGGGAGGCTGAGTGATCTGCCTGTGGTCACACAGGATCCTTAAGGCAGCCCACTGTATGCATTGTGCCCGGTGATGCTCCCACAGCCTTGCAGAACTGGGAGGCGGTGGGAGCTTCACTTACGCTGATGCAGGTGGCAGTCAGGCTAGCCAGCACACTGGGATTCAAACCCACGCTGCATGATACCTTGGCTCAGGCCCAGCCTCCAGCCCTCACTCCTGCAAGGCTCCTCACCTCCTCGTCTTCCCTCTGAGCAGTTGCTGACAGCCCAGGGTTTGAGCTGCACCCACATCTACAGTTCCCTGGACCAGGCAGCCCGCAAGATCAACCTGGCGAGGTTCACACACAACAAGTGTTCCACCCTCATCGTGACTGACCTGGCCGCCCGGGGCTTGGACATCCCACTGCTAGATAATGCCATCAACTATAGCTTTCCCGCCAAGGGCAAGGTCTTCCTGCACCGAGTGGGTGAGCATCCTGACTGCACTGGTGGACACAGGGAGGGGCACTGTGTCATGCTGGCAGCTGGGAATTTGGGGAAACTGAGGCCTTAAGCAATGTTTATTAGGTGGATCCTGACAGGCAGCCCCTAGCTCTTTTCTTCTGGTGTTGGGAACGGAACCCATGGTGTTGCTCGTGCTAGCCAGCCCCACCACAGAGCAGGCTGAGTGTGTGCTGTGTTCATAAATGCAGACAGATTAAAATATGCACGGGGAGAAGCTGGCTTTCTTAGGGCTGTTCTTTGTGTGACTGAGTGTGGCTAGATTTGTATGCACGGCTGTCAGGCCGAGTAGGGACAGTGGTGTGAGGGTGCTAGGGTCTGTGTCCTGTCACTTCACTGCTAGGCTCATGGGAGACCCTGAGCAGTGTTTCCTGTTGTGAGTCCCAGATCATGTCCTTGCTGGTCTGCTATCTCCAGTCTCCATGGTTTTCTGCACAGCTGGCTCCCTACCTGGGGGTTTCCAGAGCTACCGGGGAATTCCTCTGCTGCCACCTGACAGACCATGCCCACTGAAACCTGCAAAGGAGGGGATGTGGTGTTTGCCTAAGACAAGGGAGAAATCTGTTCATATTGGCACATGTCTGTGGTCACCGCACTCATGCTGAAGCAGGAGGATCAGGAGTTCAAGGTCAGCTAGGGCTACATAGACCCTGTCACAAACAAGAAACTAAGAGCTGAACTGTGCCACCTGCAATTTACTCAACACAGTGCTGGGGTCATGTTGGGTTATTTCCCACCTGCTGCTGCTTTTCACACTGTAAAGCGTTACAGATATTTTCATGTACTGCGCTGTCAGTCTTCCTGGGTGGTGCATCTTCAGGAAAGGGCTGAGTAGTGAGCGTTTTTATTTCAATACAGTAAACTATTTTTGTTGTAGCTATTCAGTTCACGGTGTTAGGAGGAAAGTTCCCATTGGGAATTTGTAAATGAGCGGGCATGGCTGGGTGGCAGTAAAACTTTATTGTACAAACAAGTGGTGGACCAAGTAGAGCTCACCCTATTCCTCAGCTCTGAAATTCCCACCTGGAGGTCATCAGCATATTGACCAGTCCTCTGTCCTGACACCTTTAGGAAATTCTGGCCCAAACCTCTTTTTGTGAACATTTATAGTTTTACTCATTCCTTGGGGGAAAAAATCTCCCACAGTTGGAGTGCCAAGGACTTTGAGTCCTGGTTATGAGTGGTTCTTGCCCTTCTTTCACCCACTTGAACTCTGTACCAACCTGTGCCCACCCCTGCCCACAGACAGGAGTTCAGGAAGGCCCTGGCCTAACTCTAGCCCTCAGGGAGTTGGGGTCCCTTGCTGAAACTTAACTTTTTCCCCCACAGGCCGTGTGGCTCGAGCAGGCCGAAGGGGCACAGCTTATTCCTTGGTGGCCCCAGATGAGGTCCCCTACCTGCTTGACCTTTACCTGTTCTTGGGCCGCTGCATCACCCTTGCCCAGCCTCATGAAGTGCCCTCAGGTGAGGCAAGGCTGGACAGGGGCTCAAGTCTCTGTGGAATTCACAAGCAGGCAGGGGTGCAGTGGTCTGGCTTCAGGAGGAGGCTGCTGGTTCTGACCATAGAAGATCCCGCCTACCATGTCCTGGGAGATAGCCACAGGCATCGGTGGGATGGCTTTGGGCTCTGGGTCTACTCTTGGGGCCCTTGTAGCCAGAGTGAGGGGAGCCTCTGCTCCTGTGCATCCCGGCGTCTGACCGAACACACCACCCTCAGTGCCCCTCTCGTTTGTAGTCCTGGTGCCCATAGGCCATGAGGGGATAAATTACTGCTACCTGTCTCCTCAGTGTGCTCTGTGGCCAGCAGGTACAGTTGGCAGCGACGGCGTGCTGGGCCAGGTGCCCCAGAGTGTGGTGGATGAGGAGGACAGCTGCCTGCAGACCACCCTGGACGCATCACTGGATCTTCGGGGCCTGCACCGTGTGGTCAGCAATGCTCAGCAGCAGTATGTGCGCTGCCGTCCAGCGCCCTCACCTGAGTCCATCAGGAGAGCCAAGGAGCTGGACCTGGCAGGGTTGGGCTTACACCCACTCTTCTGTGAGATTCTGCTGGGTGGAGTAGGTGAGGGTGGGTTGATTGGCCCTTCACAACCTGCCCTGGCCTTACACACGTCCTTCCCTTCTAGGCTCGCGCTGTGAGGAGGGAGAACTGCAGCTCCTGAAGCTGGTGGACAGCATCAGGAACTATGGCATCCGCTCGGTGAATGGCTGGAGTGTGGGCCCCTCAGCGGGGATTTCCTTCTGAGTTGGCAGCTTGTTAACATGTCCCATAGGTTCTGTTGGCCCCTCATAGACACCCCCTTGATCTAGAGCATTTCTGTGATCCAGGGCAGATCCATGGAGCACCTTCTCCCACTACTCAAAGATAGATTTAATCCCCTTAAGAGTGTGATGTGTTCTCTGCCTTTCAGAGGCCTGAAGAGCCCTCCATTCCCAGTCTTGACCCTCCCACCTGTTCACTTCTGGGTATTCAGGGGTGGGCATATGCAGTGGGGTTTGGGTACAAAGGCAAGGAGAGTCTGGCTAAGTGGGCAGTAACAAAAACAGCTAGGGAGTGACACAGAGCAAGCAATGGCTTCAAAGCCAAGTATACTCAGTATGAGGTCCAGGTTCTGGCTTTTCTTAGCTGTGTGGCCCTGGGCCAGGCAACCACTTTCTCTGGGCCTCCCTCTAATTGTGCAGTACTGCTATAAAGGGTCCCAACTCCCACAGTGAAGACTTGAGGAATACAGGCCTCAGCTGGCTTAGGGTAGGGCTGGAGGTCGGTGGGTAGTAGGCAATAAACATGGCATCCCTTTTGCAGACCATCTTTGAGATCAACTCCTCCAGTAGGAACCCAAGCAGCCAAATGATGCGCGCCAAGCGGCACAAGGACCAAAAAGCTATCACCAGCTTCCATCAGGGGCGTCAGGAGAGGCAAGAAAGCCTAACTGAGTCATTCGGCCTGAAGATGCTGCCTCAGAGGGAGGAGAGAGAGGAGAACCAACTGGAAAGTGTGAAGGTGCGGGCTGCAGGGGCAGGCAGCTGCAGCCGGGGGAGAGACATCTAGGTCCCAGCAGCCCGTGGGACAGGCAGTTTGGGGACATCTCCCCATAATGTGTATGGAAGTGGGGCACAGCCTCAGCTTACAGTCTGCAGGGGAGGGGTGTGGAGACTAAAGCAGGACAGCCGCAGTTTCAAAGCCAGCCTAGGGTACAGGGTGATACTGACTCAGATAACCAAAGAGCTGGCTCAGCAGTTAGGAGCCGGTACTGCCCTGGGTATGTTGGCTCACATCTTTGCTGCCAGCACTTGGGCAGCAGAGGCAGGTGGACCTCCAAATTCAGGGCCAGCCTGTACAAAGTCTTCATACTGAGACCCTGTCTCAAAAGCAACAAGAAGTCCTGCTTTCATAGGGAATTGGAGTTCTCAACACCACATTACGTGGCTTACAAACTGCCTATAACTCCATAAACACACAACTAAAAACTAAAATCTTAAGAAAGACAGAGATCCTTTTCCAGATGTTGTGGCCTGGGCTATGACTAAGCAGTACAGCCTGAGGTCCTGGTTGGAGAAAAACCCTAGTAGGGACCCTGGAGGATGTTAGAGTCCTACCCACATGGCAGTGGCCCCCTCATGCACCTCCTCCCCGTCTCTGCATCACTATGTCTCCCCTGTCGCGTTGAGGCAGAGAGTGCCTTAGTCAGAAGGCATAGGTGTAACCTATTATACGGAAGAAGCCAGGACCGAGTGCGGTCAGGGCTGTACTGGTAGAACAAGGCATCATTATTTTATTGCCAGCGTCCAGCCTGCCCTGCTCTCCAAGCTATTTTGCATGCAGATGAGGATCTTGCAGCAGTCATCTTCTGGCAGATGAAAGGGGAAGTCTTAGCCCCTTGGTTCTAGTGGGGCTGCCCCAGGCCCCAAGGGTGACATAGGCCCTCTGCCTGCCAGGACATCTTCTCAGAGGTGTACCAGAAGCAGCCAAGGCCAGGACACAACCAAGGAGCCAAAAGACGGAGGGAAGAGGCCCGACATCGAGACCGGGAGTTCTATGTTCCCTACCGGCCCAGGGACTTCAACAGTGAGAGGGGGTGAGTGTGAGCTTAGGGCCCAGTGTGGTGTGGACAAAGAGGGTCTAAGCCCTATTAATCAAATTCCCACTTGAATCTGCAGGCTGAGTGTTAGTGGGACTGGAGGGGCCTTTGAGCAGCAGGTGACTGGTGCAGTCCTCGACCTGATGGGGGATGAAGCACAGAGTATGAGCCAAAGTCGGAAGCAGCTCAGGTGGTGAGTGATGAGTCGAGGTGCCACCAGTCATGGCCTTCTGTGTCCTCTCTTGATTGCTCAGAGCAAGGTGGTGCCTCCTTCCCTGCTCCGTACCCCTTGTCACTGGCCTTTCCTGTCAGGCCCATGAGGTCTTGGACACAGCTCCCCCAATACACACAGGGCTGGAAAGTTTTGTGGGGATCAACTCCCAAGTCCCCAACCTCCATGCACCTTGAGACCTGGGCTGTCCAAGAAAGGTGAAGGGATGGTCAAAGAACTTTTGAGTGTTTAGTGCAGGCCTTTTCCTTTAATCCTCAACTGGCTACAGGTGAGGGGCAGGTGAGGGAATAGGTTCCTCAAAGTGGTCCCCCCCCATCTCCCTTTCCCTCAGGGACCGGAAGAAGAAGCGGTTTGTGGGGCAGTCAGGCCAAGAGGACAAGAGAAAGATCAAGACGGAGAGTGGCCGGTATATCAATAGCTCCTATAAGAGTGACCTGTATCCTGAGAGACAAGGCTGCAGAGTGGCCGGGCCAGGCAGCTCCCTGATCCTGGTTCCTAGAGCGGGGGGCTGCATCTGGGGGTGGGTGGGGTCCAGCTGCTGCACTGAGAGGAAAGGCTGCAGAGCCCCAGGGCCGCGCTTCCTCAGCAGCCCTCTCTAAGGGGCCTGCCACCAGTTTGGACACTACGTATCACTTCCTTAATGAGTTTCCCAGCTACCAGAAGTGGAAGCAGAAGCAGAAAATTGATGACCAAGACTCTGATGAAGATGGGCCGTCCAGCAGGCAAAGCCCTAGGCCCCGCAGAGGTGGGAAGCGAGGCCGTAGTCATGGTGAGCAGGGCAGGTGGTATGGTCTAACTAGGGGGAGAGCAACCTGCTGTGAAGTGAAGGGATGAGCATGAGTCAAAAGCTGAGCTCCCCCAAATCTCTGTGCTGACAGGTGAGTCCCAGACCCGAGCAGTCAGTGCACCCGCGCGCTCAGAACTCAAGACCAAGGAACAGATCTTGAAGCAGCGACGTCAAGCCCAGAAGCAGCACTTTCTGCAGCGAGGGGGCCTGAAGCAGCTTTCGGCTCGCAACCGCCAACGAGTCCAAGAGCTGCGCCAGGGCGCCTTTGGCCGGGGTGCTCCCTCTAGGAAAGGCAAGATGAGGAAGAGGATGTAAGGAGCCAGACTCAGCCCTGGGGCTTGCTGGTAGCCCCGGTATGGACATCAGAGACGGGTTTCCATGTGCTGTTGTCAGAGTCTCCTACAGGAGCCAGTATTAAGGAGAAGTAGAGCTGTATGACCACAGCAAGCAACAGCTGCTTTTGATTGGGACCTTCATTGGGTGGGGTCTTGAGGAAGCATAGGAGTCTAAGCTAAATAAAGGTAGGCACACCAAGTCCTGACTGTTGTTGCTGCTGCTGCTTTCATGCATTCAGGGTTCAGATGTCACGGCCATGGAATGTGGCTGCCTCCATCCCAGTGTTGAGTTTTAATGTAATAAACTCTTATGGGCCGCCTCTGGTAGAGTAGAATATAGTTTACTTGGGGTGTTGGAAGGGACAGATTCGGGTAGGAAAATCTCAGCTGATGTATCAGCTGAGTGCAGGTGGCCATGGCAGTGTGCCCCACCTGGCCTGGATTTTTAAACCAGGCTGGCTTCAAGCTCTCGGAATCTGCCTGCCTCTGCCTCCCGTAGCCCTGTGATTACAGGTGCCCGGCTTCCCTCCAGGCCCCTGAGGTGAGGAAGGTAAGACTCTGGATCCAGTTACCGAAGCAGCTCAGGACCACTGCAGGGTAGAGGCAGGCTCTGAGGGTGGCATTGCCCTTATGCACATGCAGGAGAGACCCAGTCTGCCATCCTTGAGTCCTCCATCCCCCTGATGGATTCCTCCACCTTTTGTTTGAGGTTCTGGGAGGGTCATGGATCCTGTAGTGCAAGCCAGGTACACACTGGAGACTACCCTGCTGGGTCCCGAAGAGCAGACGCTACCAACAGTCAGCTGCTGCCAGGACCCACTTTACTCGTCTTGGGGTACACCAGCCCTGTCTAAACTTGTCCAGTGGCCCCAGCCAGCTGGAAGGGAGGCCTGTGTGGTGGGTGGTGACAGCACAGCTGTCAACCCCACACAGTTTACTTAACTGAGTGCATGATGGCATGGCTGGCACAGCTCCATCTTGCCCAGGAGAAGGCATATTCAGAGAGCCACTGTGTTGAGCCTGCACACCAAGAAATGTGGGACTTGTTCCCTCGGGTCTCCTTTGCCGCTCACCTGGCTGAACTAGGAGGCAGTGGCTGTGGGCTCAGCCTGGGCAAGGTTGGCCAGCATGGCTGAGAGGTCCGTGATAAACAGCTTCACCTGGGGGCGGGGATGACATGGCCTGATCACATCCTGTCCCCATCCCCCCACACACAGGGAGGCCTATGCCAGGGTTGGGTCTGGAAACTCCACTGGAGAGCCTTTGATGGTGCCCAGTCCAGCCCCCCAAAGTTTCTTTTGCTTTGATTATTAGTAGAGTACAGCTCAAACTTGGCTTCTAACTCATGGCAATCCTCCGCCTCAGTCTCCTGAGTGTTGAAATGATTGTATATACCACCAATTGTGTGTGTGTGTGTATGTGTGTGTTGGGGTTTTTTTGTTGTTTGTTTTGGGTTTTTTGTTTTGTTTGTTTGTTTGAGACAGGGTTCCTCTATGTAGTCCTGGCTGTCATGGAATTCACTCTGTAGACCAGATTGGTCTCGAACATGGAGATCTGCCTGCCTCTGCCTCTGCCTCTGCCTCCCGAGTTCTGGGACTAAAGGCATGCGCCACTACACCAGGCTCCACCAAATGATTTCTAACCAGACACTTTGCAGCTTTCTAGCTGGCTGTCTGCCAAGCTGGTGTCCCACACACATCAGATTGTGTTTCCCTTGGATCAGGCTTGTTTGTTGGCTTGTAACCTGTCTTCATAGTGTCCTCTATTTGTGCTAATTGTTCATGTATATGGTCTAAACGGACACTTATAGGCCATGACCTGGGAGCACGCTCGCAGCAGCCTCTGAGACCCTCTTCACGTCCGTCATCTGGGAAAATATTGACACAGCATCAAGATCCTTTGTCACAGCAGTGACAGGTGAGGCCAGGTGTCAGTTCACTGCCCTGGCCAGCCTGGCAGTAATTCCTGACCTGGACAGTGGATGAGAGGGGAGACCCAGCACCCTCCTCCAAGCCTTCTTCACAGGAGCAGAGGGATGGAGGGGGAGGAGTTCAGGCTCATCTTCTCCAGTCAGCCTGGGCTATATGAGACCCCGACAAAAACAGCCTGGCTAACATGACCCTGAGACTTAGCGTGTGTTAACTCAAGGGCCAGGGTTAGATTCATGGGTGAATCTAACCAGCCTGGCAAGGGGCACACAGACCCACTGACACTCCTGGCAGATACAATACTGCCAGCTGAGTGGTTTTCTGGCCACATAGTAGGTCAACTACAAGGAACCCACACCTGCAAAGGGCCCTTAACATCAAGGTGTCCCAACCTCAAGTGCGGTTTTCCAAACAGGCAGAGGGCCTCACCTCCTCCAGCTGCCCCTCCGTGTCCTCCACGTCCAAGGCTCGCGGCTGAGTCTGGCGCAGGCGCACAAGCTGGTACAGGTTGAGGGCAGACATCCGAGTGCGTCCCAGGAGCAGCGTCTTGGCCGCTGCTGTGTTCTGGATTTGAGTCCACTTGGATTCCTGCAGAAACGTACACCTATGTCACCACTGAGTTGGGACCTGGCCCTGGGGTTGGGGAGGCCCCATCCACCTGACAGGTGTACCCAGGTGTTCTGTGGCCCGGGACAAACACTGTCTCTGGTACCCAGTGGTGATGTGTGCCTCAGCCCCTCGGTTAGCACAGTGGGTAGGTCCTCGCCAACCCCAGGCACGCGCACCCACTGCAGAGTGCGCTCCCTCGCTGCCTCCAACTGCTCGAGCAGCTGCGCACGCTGCTGGCCCAGACGCAACAGCTCATCCTCCTTGGCTTCCCGCAGACGATTCAGCTGCACACGGGTCGTGTCCAGCTCCACCTGTCGCTTGCTCTCCGCCAGCTTCAGTGCCTCCTGTGTGTCTGCCAGGCCATCGAAGCGTGCCACCAGTTCCTGAACCTCCTGAAACTGGGGGTGGGGGGAGACGACTCACTCATTCACATGACCTACAGTCCTTCGCTCCCCACCTGGCTTGCCAATATACCCTGGGGGCGTCCCCAGTCCCAGATGTGCCATGGGACACCTCAGGCCCTGAAGTGAGGAGAAGCAGGAGCCGTTGGATAGGGATTTGAACCCTGTCCCTGCCCTTCCTGCCTCCATGATTAAGCCTAGCTAATCTGATTAGGCTCCACAATTTGTCGTTGACACCACTTCATTATTCACTCACCAAGCGTTGTAGCTGATGCCTGGAATGCGAGCATTTGAGAGACTGAGGCAGAGGGTTGCTTGAAGCTTGAGGCTAGCCTCCACTACGTATTGAGTACCTGGTTAGCTTGGGCTACAGAATGGAACCCTGTCTCAGTGAGTGAGTGAATGAATGAGGGAGTGAATGAAAAATAGAGCCAGGCAGGGTGGCAGCACAAGGCTGAGGTGGGAGAATTAAGAGGTGAATGTTGGGGCTGGAAAGATAGCTCAGCGGTTAACAAGCGCTGGCTGCTCCTGCAGAGGACCTGGGTTCAATTCCCAGTACCCACATGACAGCTCACAATTGTCTCTAACTCCAGTTTCGGGGGATCTATGGCACGAGGTATGCACAAGGTACACATATTTGTGCCTGGGAGTTGAAGGCTGGGGTGTGGTGGCACACGCAGATCTCTGAGTTCTCAAAGGCCAGTCTGGCTTACAGAGTTCCAGGACAGGCAGGGCTGCACACAGAGCTATCCAGGAAACCCTGCGGCAGGGATGGGGGCGTCATGGGAGGACTGGATGATAAGAGTTGAAGGTTGGTCTTCACTGTGTATGGAGTCCAAGACCAGCCGTGTCTCAAAAATCAAACCAAACCCATATCAGTAAATCAACCCAACACACGCATTTCTCCCTCAATCCAACTTTCCACAAATCATAATAAAATTTTATATTGTTCTCTGTCCTCTCTCTGCCTCTCGCTGTCTCTGTTTCTCTCTGTGTCTGTCTGTGTGTCTGTCTCTCTCTCACACACACTTGCTTTACTTCATGACCCTGAGTGCAAGTGAACTTTCTGGAACCGTTTTTTGACCTGTAAAATGGGGTTGACAATAACAGGACCCCGTTGACCAGACTTAGGGGATGACTGGAGATCAAAGTGCATCTCTGGTAGACAGTGAGCGATCAGTAAGTGCTGTCTCTTGTATACAGTCAGAGTTCGACAGGAGCCTGAACAGAGCGGTCTCCTGGCTCTCAGCTCGGCTCACCTCCGGCAGGTGTTCCAGCGCGCCCTCCAGGAGGCGCGCACAGGGCTCGAGGCGCCGCAGCCTCCGCTGCAGCCGCGCGCGCTCCCGCCGCAGCTCCTCCAGCTGTGCGCGCAGCCGCAGCGCCTCTGCCTCCTGATGGCGCGCTCCTTGGCTCTCCTCTGTGGCTCTCCGCTGTGCGCGACCCCTTCGGGCCTCTGCGTCCTGGGAAGGAGGATGGCGATCTAGGAGTCTCAGGACTTCGGGGCTTTTGGCGCTCTCCCGCCTCCACCAAACAGCAACATTTGCGCTCTAAACCACACGAACTGTGATTCAGGCTCCTCGCTCATCCTCCACCCTCTGGCAATCTGGTCTGTCCCATTGCACTCCGCCCCCACTCTGCCCCCACCCCACCCCAACACACACACACACACACACACACACACACACACGCACGCACACGGCTTTCCTAGATTGGGGCCGTTCTGGGGTGGCAAGCAGGAGTCCCTGAGACCTGCCTCTGGCCCTCAGCGTCCACTGACCTGGAGGAATTTGTCAAATCGGATGAAAGACCCCTTCAGCTCCTGCTCTTTCTGCTCCAGCTGTGCCCAGCGCTGGTTCAGGGTGGCCATCGTGCTGCGAAACTCCTTGGGGCAGGGTGCAGTTAGAAGTGTGTGTGTGTGTGTGTGTGTGTGTAAGGTCACCTAATGTTTCACCCAATGCTCCCAGCTGCAGCTGCTCCCCTGCTCACACACAACACCCTCCTGTGGGCCCTGAATGCTCTCCTTCTCTGTCCTCCCAACCTCTTCTCACCTCCTCTCTTCCAAACATTGCATATTCCAGCCACCTGACCCCCTGAACTTTAATATATACAATGTTTTAAGTTGTGTATATTTAGGGGAGGCGTGTGTGCATGTGAGCACAGTGGCCTTAGAGGCCAGAAGAGGGTGTCTGGTCCCCTAGAGCAGGAGTTACAGGCTGTTGTGAACTACCTGATGTAGGTGCAGGGATTTGAACTCTGCTCCTCTAAAAGAGAAGCCAGTGCTGTTAACTGACGACCCTCCAGCCCCATGACTCTGTGCTTTCTCCTTAAATTCCGATTTTTGTGCCCCTTTCCTGCTTCTTTCTCCTTTCTTTCTTTGCTGCATTATCTGGCTTACCTCTCTAAGCCTCACTTCTTCCGGGAAGCCTTGTCTGTCCACTCCATTGGGAAGTAGAGGCTCCCCCGCCCCAGACTCCAACAACCCTTGCCCAGTGCTTTCTCATACAGCAACCCCCACCCAACACCTATTTTCCTCTCCAGACCAAAACTGGTCAAGGGCCAGTGCAGCGGCCAGCACACACAGTAGGTGCTCATTGCACTCGCATGCCTTTGTACCAAGTTTTCTCACTAGATCATCCTTCAACAGAGGAGGACATCAGGGCTCAGAGTGGACTCACCCAAGACTGTGTAACCCCCACTGGGCACCACCAATGTGTGTCTAGGGACCCCCAAATTTTAGCAACTGAGGCTCACCTCCTTCTGGTGCTGCAGAGCCTGGTCTGCGGCTGCTAGCTCTTGTTTCTTCTCCCATAGACGAAGCAGGGGTGGAAAGTGTTCTACATTCTGCACTAGAGGCTTCCTGAAGGAACCCAAAGGGGAGGAGGTAACAAGAAGCAAGAGGAAGGGGAAGACTCCCTGAGGGTGCTAGAATGGCCCCACTCACTACCTACTGAGTCTGCTTTGGTTTTTAAAGAGCTAATGTAGGGCCAGGCTAGCCCAGGCTAGCCTTGAACTCTTGATCCTCAAGCCTCTACCTTTTGAGTGTTAGAATGACAGGCATGAGGCTGGCACACCTACTAGCTACTGAATTTTTGATCACCAGTTTGCTGAGCACTTTTTTCTGTCCAGGCAATCTGTCCCAGTTCAACCATCAAGAAGACAGACAGAAGCCAGGCGAGGTAGTGCGCACCTGTAATCCCAGCACTTGGGGAGGCAGAGGCAGGTGGATCTCTGTGAGTTTGAGGCCAGCCTGGTCTACAAAGTGAGTCTGGGAGAGGCAAAGCTACACAGAGAAACTCTGTCTCAAAAAAACCAACCAACCAAACCAAACCACCACAACAAAAAACCCAGATTAATGGAAACCCATGTTGCTGGGAGCTGTCCTCTCCTGAGGACCACAGACAGTAAGAAGGATGATAGTTGCAAGCACTATCATCAGACACGGTGGGCCCTGAGAGGTAAAGTTCAGTAGACCAGAGACAACTTTCAATAATGGAGTCAGGAAGTCCTTCTGGACAGAGGACACTGGGACAGGGCACTGACAACCTTAGGAAACAGAGTCCAGGCCAATGAAACGGTCAAGAAACACCCTGGCTCCCAGCAAAACACCTGGGTATGTTGAAGGAGAAAGGAGATGACAGGGGGAAAATAAAATCAGAGCTACAAGGTTAGCTGTGGCGGGCCATAGGGAAAGAAGACTTTGACCCTCAGTGAGACAGGAGCCATGGGCAAGTTTTGGGTGGAGCAGAAAACCTTTGTGGCTTCCATAAGGAGCTGGGAACAGTGGGTGCTCACTGATGGGGCCGAGGGTACTCCACAAAAAAATGTTGTTCTCATCAGGCTGGCATGGTGGGGAGGTGAGGTAGACCTGTGCTGGGTACAGATTGACAGCAGAGCCGATGGGGCAGGGCAGCGTGGGAAAGGAGTAGAGGCCACCTCAGAAGCTGGAAGGGTGTCACTTTGAGGATGACTATAGGAGGAGCAGGTGGGGTGGAGGTGACAGGTTCCTCCTCTGACCACACAGTAGAAGCATTCTTCTGTGGGAGCCGTCCAAGAGAAGCTGGGTGTGGGAGCCTGGCTCTCCTGGGAGGACGGGAGTCTGACATCTCAGTCAACAAAGCTTGCCGAGCTCTGAGACGGCCCCACTGCCCCCAGAGCTGACGTCCTTAAAATGCAGCTTCTCCTCTGGACAGTGGCTTGCAGGAAAATTCCTTTCCACCCTGGTTCAAGGATTTCATCTTTGTGAGACGCTGGCCAAGGCTGGGGGGGGGGGGGGGGAGCAGGCCAGCCATCCCAGAAACTCAGAGATTGGCCTACCACTGGCCAGTTTAGCTCTAACTTGCCCGCCGTGACCTTGTGGGGAGGCCTGTCTGAGTTATAGATTCTCTTAGGGCCTTTGCACCCCACCCTAAGACTGCCCAAAGGAATGAGGCTGCAGGAACGCCAGAAGAAGGGATGGGCTCTCTTTTTGCTCCCCCTCTGTCTCACCCCATGCACCCCTTCCTCATACAACTCACTTAGGCACTCTCTCTCGGAGGACCAGTCGGAAATACTCCTCCCAGGCTACCGCCATTCGTCTACAGGTGTCTTAGCACAGGCCAAGGGGCTTGAACTGGAGAGTACTGCCCTGCCTGGAGCTCGCAGAAGTCCAAGGCTGAGCAAGCCCTGGTTGCCTGGACAGCCAACAGCGCAACATTCCGTTGCTAGGCTGCAGCCTAGGAGGACCCACCCCTGCAGGGACAGACAGCAGCCAGGAAGGGAGGGGACGGCTATCTCCTCTCTAAATTTGGAGACAGTGGACACGACATGGGTCTTGGGTCAATAGTTCCTTTTCCGGGAGGCCTGTGTCTGACCAAGTCCTCTTCCCAGCCAGGTAGAGTCGGGCATCACTATGCAACAGTATGCTTCTTCAATCACACCAGAGAATAATTGGAGCTGGAGTGGGGCTCAACTCTCCCTTGGCTTATACAAGGCCGTGGGTTCCATCTCCAAAAGAGTAATTATTGAGTGCCCCCCAAAAGAGTAATTATTGAGTGCCCCCTGTTTTCCCAGCCCTATGTACTGCCAGCCATTCCCGGGAAAATTCTTGAGGGGCTCCAGTCCTTTAAGCTCCCATGTCCGTGTTGCTGATGGGGCTATCCTGTGTCTCATGGAGCCCCAGGCTGCTTTGGAAAAAGTGCTGCTCTGAAGAGGTGCCCTGGGAAGGGGCTGGTGCCTTGCCCTTGAAGGGTGGAGGAGGGAGAGACTGTCACAGTTTGAGTACTTGCTGTGGGTCTGTCGAGATGCTGAGCCCTCCACTGTAAAGAGCATTTCATCTAAGGCTAGGGGGGTCTAAGTACTAGGGAAAAGGTTCAGCAAAAAAAAAAAAAAAAAAAAAAAAAAAAAAAAAATGCCCACAGCATATCTAACTGGAAGGTGCAAGCAGTAACTCGTCAAATGCTTCAGAGGGAATCCTTTGCACCCTCCCTTCCTTCCTTCCTCCTTCCCTCCCTCTGTTTCTCTGTCCCTCTGTCCCTCCATGCCTTCCTTCCCTTCTCCCCCCTCCTTTCCCCTCCCTTTATTCTGTTCTTCCTTGAGACAAGAGCTCACTTTGTAGCCCAGGCTGACCTCAAACTCACAAAAGTCGTCCTGAAAAGTACTAGACTCATGGCTTGTGCATCAGCTCCTACCTCCAGGTTTCTGTCCTGCTTAAGACCCTGTCCTGACTCCATTGATGGTGAACAGTGATGTGGATGTGTGAGTGAAATAAGCCCTTTCCTCTCCAAGTTGCTTTTGATCATGGTGTTTCATCACAGCAATGGCAACCCTGACTAAGACAGCTGCCCTGTTCAAGTCGATTGCCTGGTGGATTTAAGGCAAGGTCTCACCGTGTAGCCGAGGCTCAGCTCCCCTCAGCATCGTGATTCCAGTCCTGTGCCAACCTATACTTATTTGTAATGCCGACATTGCTTAAAACGACTCTTAAGGAGTTTTGTTAGGGGATATTTTTAAAAAAGAGATCTAAAATAACCCACATTTTCCCTTTGAGCGTTTTGCATTAAATTACCCACATTATCTTTCCGCATAACTTGATGTGAAGTTTCAGCAAGAAACATGAGCTCATTTTTCTTAATTAAAAAATAGAGGTGTAACTTCTACCTCCTGAAATTCATCCCTTTTTTCACACATGTTTTCATGGGTTGTGGCAAATGTGTAAAGCTGTGTAGCCACAACAACCGAGGCAGAAACCTGGAGACTCAGGGCCCATTTGTCCCATTTGTGATCTGCCTAGGGTATAGCCCAGCCTCAAAACCGTGTGGGCTGTGGTGGTGGATATCTGTAATCCAGGTATTCAGTGAAAGTACTAACTTACTGTGTGTGTGTGTGAGAGAGAGAGAGAGAGAGAGAGAGAGAGAGAGAGAGAGAATCTTTTATAATGTTGCTTTTTTCCTGAGACATCATTGGTCAGTGAGCTTAGATTCCTCCTGTCTCAGCCTCCAAAGTGTCGGGATTACAGGTGCCTGGCTATTTGGGTGGATGCTGGATCTAAGCTCAAGTCCTTATGTGCACACAGAAAGCACTTCTCTGAGTGAGCATCTCCCCCCCTTATTTGGAATTCTAGGATCAGGGAACACTTTATTCCACAAAACAGAATAAATGTTTCAATAGTTGGAACAAAGGAGGATGGCTTAACAGAAGAGGGAACTCTGAAGAAAGCAAGAGCAGAAACCAAGGCAGGAGGGGTTAGGGAGGCTTGAAAGCAGGAGGACCTGAGTTCGGATCCTTAGCTCCCTCTTAAAAAGCTGGGTGTGGCAGAACACGGTAATCTCAGCACTGCGGAGGTGAAGGCAGGAGGATCCCCAGGGCTCACTGGGCAGCCTGGATAGATGGATGGATGGATGGATGGATGGATGGATGGATGGATGGATGGATGAGCTCCTGGGTCAGGGAGAGACCCTGTCTCAAACACCTATCTCAATAAGAGTGACTGAGGATCACCAGACATGGACCTCTGTCCTCCATACATACATATATGCACACACACATACACGCACATGAATGCACAAATATACATACATCAGTGTGCACATACACATGTACACACACATGCATGTACACACACACACACACACACACACACACACACACACACACGCGTGTCATTTCCCAGTTCGTCCCCTACTACATCAAGGACCAGGAAGCAATATAGGAAGATGCCTGGTGAGTGAACATCCTGCTATTACCGGCTCCTTTGTGTGAGGATTAAAGCAGAGAAATCTCTCATAATTTCCCATAGAAACCTGTCTGCTTGGAAACTTTGGTTGTTATTGCCAATCCCCATTTCTGGGAAGGCCGGACAAACAGCTTAATTTTAGCTCAGGGATGAGTAACCTTAGCTTGACTGACTCCATTTTGATTTTTAGTTTGGTTTGAGGAGGAGGGAGGGTCAAAGCCACAATTTCCTGCAATTCTTTTAAGCATCTCTTTCTAGCCCATGCTGTGCCTGTGCCCTTTCCCCTCTATGCCCTGTACCAACCACTTATTCCCTCACAAAGCCTCACCCAGCAGTATCAGCATAGATTTACCATCTCAAGAATGTTGTACAGGGGCTGCGGCTATAGCTTAGGGGGTGGAGTGCTTGCCTGGCATGCACAGGGCCATGGGTTCAATCCCCAGAACTGCATAAACCAAGAGTTGTGACACATGTCATGTCAGTCCTCAGGAGGATCAGAAGTTCAAGGTCATCCTTGGCTACATATTGAGGTCAAGGGCAGCCTGGGCTATATGAGACAACAGCCTGAAAAAAGCTGGAGATATGGCTCAACAGTTAAGAGCATGGCTATCTGGCAGAGGACCTGGGTTTGATTCCCAGCACCCACATGGCAGCTCATAACCAACCATCTGTAACTCCAGCCCCAGGGCATCGGTCACCCTCTTCTGGCCTCTGCAGGCATCAGGCATGCACATGGCGCACAGACAGACATGCAGACAAACACTCACACACATAAAAACATCTTTAAAAAGAAACAAGTTAAATAAACAAAATTTGAGACATCATTAAATGTTTTTATTTTTATTATCTCACAGTGGCCTGGAATTTACGCAAGTGCTAGGATGACAGGCAGGTGTGAGTCACCTTGCTAGATGCTTCCAGCTTTTGACTATTGAGAATAAAGCTGCTAGCTGGGAGGTGGTGACGCAAGCCTTTGAGCCCAACACTCTGGAGGCAGAGTCAGGTGGATCTCTGGGAGTTCAAGGTCAGCCTGGTCTACAGTGGAGTTTGGGTGAATGTGGGCCTTCATTTCTGCTGTGTAAGTGCCCCATAGCCAGACTTTAAAGTCCTAAGGTGATAGTACATTAACCTTTTAAGAAGGGACCGCCATCTTTGTTGTTGAGACAGGGTCTCTCCATGTACCCAAGGATGTCCTGGAATTCACTATGTCTCCTCCCAAGTGCCGGGACTAAAGGCACACATCACCAAGCCTGGGCTAACCACTCGGCTTTGGCTTGGCCCCTCTATAGCTACCACGGCCCATGCTCTCTGCATTCTTTCTATTAAAGTTGATCATCCTTAATCGGAAAATTTGAAATCTGAACTCCTCCTGAATTTGGAACACGTCAGATTCCAGATTTTCAGAACAGGGATGATGTCTTTTAAGTAAAGTTTATAAAAACAAACAAACAACAAAAGCCACGGGTCCAAAAAAACACCTCTCAACATGGGAAATATGTCTAGTCCAGGTCCTTCAGGGTGAGAGCTACTCAGTCTGTATCATTGTTTGCTATTCTAGTCTCTTTTTCCTGTTTTTATTTTCTTATGTTTTTGTTATGATGAGATCCCTGAGCCTGGGCAGCCACAGAGACATATCCTAGGTGACATTTTAATTATATTGATCAATGTAGAGTGATGCCTCCTGTATGTCTGTGTGTGTGCATGTGTGTGTGTGTGTGTGCGCGCGCGCGTGTGCGTGTGCATGTGTGCATGGAGGCCACAGGGGTTGACATGAGGTATATTTCTGGATCATCCTCCACCCTATTGATTGACACAGAGTTTTCAAGACCCAGGAATCCACCTGTCCCTACCACCCTCCTAACACTGGGGTTACCAATACCACCACATCCAGCTTTTAATGTGTGGGGTCCAAGGGATATGAATTCAGGTCCTCAGCCATGCAGAAAGCCCTCTACTGATTGAGCCATTTCCCTTGAAAAACAGAGTTGAAGGACTGGAGAGTTGAGCTTAGCAGAAGAGGGCTCTGAGTAGAGAGCATAGCATGTGTAAAGGCCCCAAGGCAGGAAGAGAAGGGAGGGTTGGTGTGTGGGACTCAGGCATGAAGGGGTCAGGGCTGGGTTAGGCCAAGGAGGGTCCCAGACCTGTGCTATGAGTAACTCTCAAGGACCTGGGCCTAGAGGATAAAGGGACTATCTCGAGAATAGGTGTTAGTTTTTTTCTTTCCTTTTTTAGAGATGGGGTCTTCCCCTGTCACCCTGGCTGGCCTCAAGGTAGCCGAAATCCTCCTGCCTCTGCCTCCTGAGTACTGGCATTGAATGCAAATTCCACCACACCAGGCATTCTGGTGTTTGCTTGGATACAGATAGTCACCTTGGGCTCATGGCTGCTCATGAGACTG